GTTGCATTTAATGTTTCTTCGAGGGGGCTTAAAAAAAGATATATTTAATAATTCAATAAAATATGAGTATGTTATCATAAATGAACTATATTCTACATATAAATATAAATAATTATTATTGAAAACACAAAATAAAAAAATCTAGCAACTAAAATGCAGTCCTCTTAGTTTTTCTAATTTAAATATGAATAATAATAATAATAATAATAATAATAATAATAATTATTATTATTATTATTATTAATCCACTATTTTATGATAAAACATGAGTATGTTATGATAAATAAATTATATTCTACATATAAATATAAATAAATATTATTGGAAACAGAAAATAAAAAGAATTTGACAACTAAAATGTAGTCCTCGTTAGTTTGTCTAATTTAAATATGAATATAAATAATAATAATAATAATTATTATTATTAATCCATTATTTTACTATTTAATGGCTAAAAATTAATATAAATAATTGGGTATAAAGATGATTCATTCAATACAAAATTAATTTATTTTTTAATATTTGAAATCATGAGGGTAGTTTTGGTAAGTAAATCATTTTCTTTTCCCTTTCTATACAAGCTAATAAAATAATATTTTTTCATAATTTTTTTGAAAATTTTTGTTGCTAATCAAATGCACGTAGGAAATTTGATTTTCCTTTTTTTTTACTTACTTTTTTTCACTTTCACTTTCACTTTCACTTTCCATCATAAATTTCCGTCTAACTAAACGGGCCTGAGTTTTTTTTTGCACTTATTGAAAAAACATAAAATACAAATAGACACCCATACGACGCCGTGCCAATGCAGCACCTCCTACACGTAAGCTTGACTCAGAGAACTATCCCACGCACTTCCACAACCACCTAAATATTTCTGAATGCACTTTGAGTCCCCCAAACCGACTGAACCTCTGAACCTGCAGATGTACTCTCCTTCACTCTTTTTCTTTACCTCTCTCTATTTTACTAATTTTTATTTTTATTTTAGATTTACTCATTTTAAACTATCTTGAAATTCTGATTTATCATCTTCGATTCGTAATCAGGAAAATTCATTGATGTTTTTTTGGCATCGTAAATAAAAATTTGTTTGATCTGTGTTTTGTATGTCCACAGCCCACTTACTCCACAGCCCACTGACACTGTAACAAGGAACTGCGTTACTTTCGAAAAAAGAAAATAATAATAATAATAAATTAAAAGAACTGCGTTTCCCACAGTCAATAATGCATCATGCCAAAGCATTGAATATGATAACTGTTCACCCTGTTATGTCATAAATGTGAAAAGACTATACCATTGGTGATTTACAGCTGTATTGATGGAGAAGAGATGATTAGGTGGCCGGTACCCATCACCTCGTTTGTGGTCCGGATCACTAATATTCTGCCACGTAGTGGAGACTTTGGTCGATGAAACATTTATGTATCTAGAGTATTTATGTATCTAGAGTATTTATGTTGGCAGTAGTGAATGACAACCCAATTTTCAAAAAAAAATTAAAAATGGTATATTTACATTACCTAGTGCAGGTATATATATATATATTTTAAAAATGTTAATATTATTATATATATATTAATATTATTATTGTCTATATAGAGACTTGTACCATTGAGAAAGTAGATACTCATCTTTTTACCCTACATCATCTAGTTGGACTCTCTTCCCCATCTCCTCCTCCTCTTGTATATCTAAAATTCTAGGGCGAAACTGAGAACCACGATATATAGTCTCTAATCATTCTTAGGGTTCTGAGAGAGTGCTCAGCTTCTAGGGTTCCGAAGTATTCGCATCAATGGGTGTATTTCCAAGTTTTTTGTTCGCAACTTTAATATAGTAACAAAAGAGGCAAGTTTTTCTTCTATAATGAATTTCTTTACAATTTAATGTTTTTTCTAGATGCCATTAATCTATATGGTGAATTTATATATGCTGAATTTCTTTGCAGTACGTAGAGTACAAAGGGGCTAACATTCAGCGACAAGAATTTCTACCCCGCGTCATGTTGGCAAGACGTAAGTTCTTTCACTTCATTGTTTTTCACTATTTCATCCTGTTTTCTATGTCACTCACATAAACATTTTTTGTTTTTTGAAAATTGAAAAATCTTTTTGAGAATTTTTCTAGTCATTGATTTATGTTTATTTTCGCTTCACAATGCTTAAAGAAAGAAACCAGAGACAAATAATGAGGTTAGGGTTTGTTCTGGAGGTGATTGATTCTGTGTTTTCTTTATTTTTATTTTTTTAATTTCATCCTGTTTTCTATGTCACTCACATCTAACATATTCATCTACCATATTCTAGTCATTGAACATTTTTTGTTTTTTGAAAATTGAAAAATCTTTTTGAGAACTTCTCGAGTTATTGATTTCTGTTTATTCTTTTGCTTCACAATTTTGGAAATGCTTAAAGAAAGAAACTGGGGACAAATAATGAGTTTAGGGTTTGTTCCGGAGGGTGATTGATTCTGTGTTTTAGTTTCTTTTGGCTCAGGATGTGTTGTTGGACAAATGGTCTTTAATTATTCTCTATCTATGTGAACCACCTTGGAGAATGGGATGGCCTGGCTTCACAAAATAGTCCAAAATCTTTTTTCTTTTTCTTTTTGTCATTTTTTAGATGAGGTTTGGAATTGGATAACTCTGTAATCTTGGATCCCAGAGGAACCTTATCAATAAGGAATAGCTAGAGCGACCAGAGCACTTCGTTACAAGCTTAATGGCAAGTCTGCCTGTGCTCTAACGATCGGAGATCTTAGGCCTGGATCCACCCTGCTACTCCCACCACTTTGTGCTCCCCCAATGATAAATACCGGCCCTTAATCGGCCCAGCCATTACATCAACAACCTTACTGATGAGTTGCTTTTTTTTATCAAGCTGCTTGAGTTGGAATAATCTCAGGTTGGTGGCTCAAGGCATGATAAGTAGTCATAAACAAGTAGTCATAAACAAGATAACAGAGGAGTACTCTCTTGTTGGGATTTCCTCTGCTCACATTCCAGGCTTGCTTCTTCGATCTTTTTAATGTCGGGTTGTTCTTTGAGCTCCATTTCTTGTAAGATCCTTGACGGCCACCGCATTCCTATTATTATGGGTTCTAAGCGGAATGACACGCCAAAAGTGGATGGTGAAGGTAAAGTGGCTCTGTTAAATGAAAATAACTTGCTTTCTCTGTTAGGTGGGATGGAAGGAATGGCATCGTCCCGTTAGTACTATATAAAAGGGTAAAGAGGGAATGGCAAGAAGCCCCATACAGCCACTTTTAAAAAAAAAGAAAAAAAAGAAGCCCCATACGTTCATCAGATGAAAGAGAACTTGTTTAATGTATTATCTAAAAGGGTAAGAGGGAATGGCAATTGTTTTTGTTTTGAAGCCTGTATTTCCTTCCCGGTCCCTCACACAGCTGGATTTTGAAATCTGCCTCTTTTTTGGGGGCTTTCTTATTTGATCAAAATATAGTATTAGCTAAGTGGAAAAGGAATGGTGATCAGTCCCCCTTCCCTTAACGTTGTTAAAAACTAATATACAAAGAAGGAAGGCAGAAATATAGTCCAGGTCTAAAGGTGCTCGAGGCTTTATAAGGCAAGATTTGTAATAAGGGCTTCAATTATTGAGGGTATTTTGGGTCAGGAAGAATTCATTTTTTTCTACCACTGAGACAAGAATGCTGCCACACATGGGGTAAATCAACAAAGAAAGTTATTTTTGATTAAAGTTAATTAACTAAATAGGATGATGTGAACATGTTTAATTAAAGTGATAACGATCTTTAAATCTTCATGTTTTAGTAAATGTTTTGATTGGTGACAGATGATGGGAAGGATAATGTGCTGAATGGCGTCATGCTCATTGACTCTGCTCTAAGGTCAATGACTCTGGTATGGCTTTCAGAATCTGCATCTAACTTGTATAAAGTTTTGATGATGTTAATTCTCTTTTTTAGACTATTTTTTTTTCTTTTTTGGGTAAATAACATGTATGTATTGATGATAACAATAATTTTTTGTATTAGACTATTTTGGTTGCATTCGTGATCTTTTAATTTGTTATGTTGGCATATTAGATGACAATCAAGATACATTCCACCTAAGAATTATAACAACTGATTTTTGTTTGGAATGAAAATTTGATAACAGTCTCACATGTCTTGTTTTGAATAATGATACTTTTAACTAATGAAGAATTAGTTGCCTATTAATCTAATATTTTAATTCAGGATTTGTATTTTGTTTCTGTTTCAAAGTCTATTTAGTATAATTAAAAATTATATTGGTAATGAAATTTTGGAATGTTTCGAACAAGGTATATCTGCTTTCTTTTTCATCCTGGAAGTTAAAACACATTTTCACTAATTTTAATTGAAATTTTCACTAATTATGATTAAATGGTTACTTTGAAAAATGAGATTCACCAAAATGGCTTTTTGTTTATAAAGTCATTTCTCCTTTCTATTTAAATTGGTCAACACCTTAGTATGCTTGACACTACTGGCAGTGATTTAATTAAATTGCTCAAACACTTTTCCCACCCAAGTTATGAGTTGAAATTTTTTTTAATGAACTTACCTGTTTTTTGCTTTTATATCTATTGCTTGAATCATTTCGTGAAATGAGTTGATAAAACATAGTTCAAATTTCTAAAACAATAATATGGGCGACAAGTGCACATTATGAGACCAAGTGATGCAATATGTATATCACGTGTTCTCGCTCTCGACAACTACTTTATCTAATATATATCTATAGTTTTTGTTAAAGCCTCTCCATTCAAATAAAATGTTTTGTGAATAATTGGGCTGGTGTAACTTTACTTTCATCCATGTCTTCTTTGGTTGAAATTATGCATGGATGGTTTATTTTGATGTACTTGAATTTTACAGAGAGAGATGTATCAAGGAGTTTTAAGAAAAATTCCCGGGGTTGTTTCCTGCCCATTCGGAGTCCCGTATTTCGGTGAGTTATAATTTTTCCCATTTTGATTTATGGGTAATTCGTCTCTTCAGCTAATAATTTGTATTTTGTTTTTGTTTTTTTGACTCTTGAATCTTGAAGAAGCCCACCGTCAGCTAATAATTTGTATATCTTTGTTTGCGTGTGTCATCACACTCTAAAGCCTGCATATCTGTAGCAGAATATGTGTTGTGACTTTGCTTTCCTTTCCTTTCCTTTGTTACTATGTCAATCCATGTTAAGTTTTATCTTGTCCTTCCCTTTGCATTGTCTTCAATGTGGACCATGTCACTTTTGTCGCGGATGTATATTTTTTTTTTCCTAGTTGCATATGTAGTTATTGTTAACCATCTTAATCATTTTTTTAATTTTATTTTATCATATTTCCAATGTGTGTTGTTTCTCCATTTCTGGTTGAAACCCCATCACCATGGCCACCATCAACCATTCTAATTGTCTGCTAGCAACTCCACTAATACTCACCACTCTTGACATCTGTAGATTACCATCAGTTCATCACAATCAACCTTACTGAAACCTAAGCTTCGAATTGATTGGAGCAAAGTTCAATTTGGGTGATTTTGGGGAATTTTGGGGGGTTTTACTTCAATTCAAGGTAGAGTTTTTTAATTGTTGAACTCCTTAGGTTTGCTAGTTAATTGCAATGTTTTTCCCCACCTAACATGTTAAATTGATGCTTAATTGAATAGTTGTTGCCTCATAGGGTTACATATGCATAATTGTTACTGCAATTATTATGCTGTATGTGCTTAATTGAATAGTTGTTGCCTCATAGGGTTACATATGCATAATTGTTACTGCAATTATTATGCTGTATGTGACTGACTATGTTTTTGAATGCTATGTGAAATTCATATGCTATGTGTGAGAGCTTTTATATCTTCAAACATGCTATATGTGATATAAATGACTTCTTTAATTTGTGTCATCCCTAACTTTTTATTTGTGTGCAGATGTTTCTATTGAGCAGAAATCTTGTGCACATCTTGCGTCATTTGGGGAAATGCGTAGTCTATTTTGCAAGACTATATTTTTTGATTTGCACTTCGGATTGACAAATGGATCTAGATGGTTCTCTACATATGATGCTGATGTAGAAATCGTAGAAATGGTAAGTGTTTCAATCTAATTGTTAATTTTCCATGAATTTCTTTATAGATTGATAATTGTGTAGTTGTTAATTTCCAGTTGAAAATGAGGTTTATTGAAGATGGGCACAGGAAGGCACTTTATAAAAATGGTTGTCTGTTGCCAAAATGGATGTCGACTGAAAATCTTCAGCTTCCTCGGCAAACAAAATTTCTAACCGAAATTGACTATATGAATTGTGTCGGGAGGCTTTCAAATACCGATCAGTGTCATTCTTTTGTTCACTTTTTACGAAAAGATCTCATATATGTGGTGGAGGGAAATGATAAGAGTTTTTTCAAGCATGCTATGAACAGATTTTCGTGGTATAATCCCTGTAATTTTTACCCTGTGGCAAATGTGGATGCATCAGTAGATGAATATGGCAATGCAAGTGTTGCTGTTGTCATTAGGAGTCCTAAAGGTGTGATAAAGAACACCTTTTTCATGTCACTGGAGGGGAAAATGTCTAGCCATTCTGCGGAAGTAAAAAGCGGCGAACTGGCTATTTTAGTGGCTTCCGAGTTGGGGTATGATTCTCTTGAGATAAGAAGCGACTCGGGAGATTACGTCAATGGTATGCGTGGCAAATTTAAAACCGAGGAGGATGACCTGGAATTCATTAAGAACTGCCGGTAAGTAGTTTATTTTATTTTATTTATGTAACAATGCAATTTATATCTTGTTTATTAAGAGTTTTTTTTTTTTAATTTTGCACTTCGGATTGACAAATGGATCTAGATGGTTCTCTACATATGATGCTGATGTAGAAATCGTAGAAATGGTAAGTGTTTCAATCTAATTGTTAATTTTCCATGAATTTCTTTATAGATTGATAATTGTGTAGTTGTTAATTTCCAGTTGAAAATGAGGTTTATTGAAGATGGCACAGGAAGGCACTTTATAAAAATGGTTGTCTGTTGCCAAAATGGATGTCGACTGAGAATCTTCAGCTTCCTCGGCAAACAAAATTTCTAATCGAAATTGACTATATGAATTGTGTGTGTCGGGAGGCTTTCAAATACCGATCAGTGGCATTCTTTTGTTCACTTTTTACGAAAAGATCTCATATATGTGGTGGAGGGAAATGATGATGAGTCTTTTGATGCATGCTATGAATAGATTTTTGTGGTATAATCCCTGTAATTTTTACCCTGTGGCAAATGTGGATGCATCAGTAGATGAATATGGCAATGCAAGTGTTGCTGTTGTCATTAGGAGTCCTAAAGGTGTGATAAAGAACACCTTTTTCATGTCACTGGAGGGGAAAATGTCTAGCCGTTCTGCGGAAGTAAAAAGCGGCGAACTGGGGAAAATGTCTAGCCGTTCTGCGGAAGTAAAAAGCGGCGAACTGGCTATTTTAGTGGCTTCCGAGTTGGGGTATGATTATCTTGAGATAAGAAGCGACTCGGGAGATTACGTCAATGGTATGCGTGGCAAATTTAAAACCGAGGAGGATGACCTGGAATTCATTAAGAACTGCCGGTAAGTAGTTTATTTTATTTTATTTTATTTATGTAACAATGCAATTTATATCTTGTTTATTAAGAGTTTTTTTTTTAATTCCTTTTGGCAGTGTGCAGAGGAAATTGGGTAAAGAAAAGTTTGGTATTAATCTTAAAGTCGTGTTCGTTTTGAGGGAGGTGAATGTTGTTGCAGATTTCTTGTCCAGAATTCTACAAATTCACGCCAAGTATGGTCCCAGGGCGGACAAAATAGAGTATGCTACAATTTGCTGTTCATTTCCTGCTCCCTCCTCCAAAATTTAGCTATTTCATCTTCCAAAATTTAGTTGTCTCATTTCCTGCGGATCATCATTTTCGTCTTTTTCAAGATCGAAAAGCTATTTTACAGAATTTTTTCAGAAAGCAGCGGCGACTAACTGATTTTTTGAAGAGGAGGAAGGATGAGACAGCTAAATTTTGGACGAGGGAGCAGGAAATGAGACAGTTTAATTTTGGAAGATGAAACAGTTAAATTTTGGAGGAGGAAGCAGGAAATGAGCAGCAAATTGTAGCATACTCTATTTTGTCAACCTGCTCCCTCGTTCAAAATTTAGCTGTCTCATTCTTCCTCCTCTTCAAAAAATCAGTTAGTCGTCGCTGCTTTCTGAAAAAATTCTGTGGAATAGCTTTTCGATCTTGAAAAAGACGAAAATGATCCGCAGGAGATGAGACAGCTAAATTTTGGAGGATGAAACAACTAAATTTCGGAGGAAGGAGCAGGAAATGAGTAGCAAATTGTAGCAAACTCTATTTTGTCACAACTCTCTTTTTATTAAAAGCTTGGTAGGGATCTTATATAATATTGGACTACAAGTGTCTTGGGGTTTTTCTATAAATATCGTGAAGCATTAATCTATTTGTTTTTCTATAAATATCGTGTAGCATTAATCTATTTGTTTTTCTATAAGTATCGTGTAGCATTAATCAAATAGAAGATTTTGTTAATTCATGTATAATGAATAAGTAGTTTGATATCCAACCAGTCAGGAATGCTACTATAGCGGCCGATGCAACAACCACAGGTGCACTTGGATGATCCTTTGCTACTTTGATCAGCAAGGCAAGATCCATAGAAATTTTAGAAGCAATCCTATTTTGCCCTAAGACTACCAAGAAAGGGAAAAAGTTCTAAGAATGATAGACAAAGAACTACTCTTTATCATATTCGGTGTTGTAAGAGTCAGAGGGCATGTCTTATGCGGAAGGAGGCAAGCGCTAACAAGCAATAGAATCGACAAAGAAGGCGGGGAGTAGATGATCCAGCTGAAAATCATGCCCTCTAAAAAATAGAGGGATTTGATGGCGGTTGTTGGCGAAATAAATTAAGAAAGCAGGAATTCTGGGAATTTTTTGTTTCATTCTCTTGTCGGGTTGGAACACTAGATAGCTGAGGCCTGAAATTCTCAGGGGAATCCAAACAAGAAAATTAGATATCAAAATTGCAACAAAAACCTTATAACAAATGGGACCAGGAGTAATTGTTGTGGGTCTGAAAGTATGAGGACTCTTAGCTCTTATTGATTGTTAAAGAGTGGTAATGGCAGCGACTGTGATAGATTGTGGAATGATGACTTTGTGGTGAGAGCGTTGGATGAACATATTTTGTTGCGTTTTGGATGTGAGACTGGGATGCTTTAGTCATTAGGAATTAGGGTTATGAGTTATAATATATATAATTTTAATATAGTATATACGGCGGGGTGGATAATTTTTAGAACTCGTTTTCGGCCCGTGACCCATGACAGATCTCAAAGTTAAATACATACCTGTCTGGACGGATAATTTTTAGAACCAATCCCGACCCTGTGACCCGTTACAGGTCTCAAAGTTTAATCCATACCCGCCCCAACGATATAAAAATGTTTTTCATATTCACTATTAACGGGTCGGTAAAAAATTGCCATCTCTACCCGTGCACAGTTGATTCAAAATCTGGCTGCAGTATGCACAAAAGATCTAAAGAAAGACCATTTGGGTTATAACATTGACAAAACTAAGCACACCTTCTGTGTGATAATGGAAAGTATAGAACAAATGCATGATCCTTTAATCAATTCGGCAACTGGAAAGGGTGACCCTGCAAATAGGTTTTTGGGTGCTGAAATCTCAACCGCTCAGTCCAGCATCTTCAACATGTAACTCATCCATGGTTGCATCATTCTGGCCAAAACTTGAGCATTCCACAAAGCAACCATTGCCATCCTCCCTGCCTTCTCTGTACTTAACCCAAGCAACCATTGACGAACAACAAATTATATACTTTACTACAGAACAAGCAACAGATGTAGGCAATTACTATTAAATCCGGAGAGACAACTCAACTTCTGCAATAATGTAAATAACAGCCAGCAACAAATCCAGTTAAAAATTAACAACAGTTCAACAGTGCATTATCTCTTCTCATCTTGCAAGCTGCTGCCTTTACTGAGATTAAAATTACAAAAATACATTGTCGATCATATAAGTTTAAAGGTACATTACACAGAGACAGTTACTCTAATCATTACTAATTTTTATTTTTATTTTAGATTTACTCATTTTAAACTATCTTGAAATTCTGATTTATCATCTTCGATTCGTAATCAGAAAAATTCATTGATGTTTTTTTGGCATCGTAAATAAAAATTTGTTTGATCTGTGTTTTGTATGTCCACAGCCCACTGACTCTGTAACAAGGAACTGCGTTACTTTCGAAAAAAAATAATAATAATAATAATAAATTAAAAGAACTGCGTTTCCCACAGTCAATGATGCATCATGCCAAAGCATTGAATATGATAACTGTTCACCCTGTCATGTCATAAATGTGAAAAGACTATACCATTGGTGATTTACAGCTATATTGATGGAGAAGAGATGATTAGGTGGCCGGTACCCATCACCTCGTTTGTGGTCCGGATCACTAATATTCTGCCACGTAGTGGAGACTTTGGTCGATGAAACATTTATGTATCTAGAGTATTTATGTTGGCAGTAGTGAATGACAACCCAATTTTCAAAAAAAAATTAAAAATGGTATATTTACATTACCTAGTGCAGGTATATATATATATATATATTAAAAATGTTAATATTATTATATATATATTAATATTATTATTGTCTATATAGAGACTTGTACCATTGAGAAAGTAGATACTCATCTTTTTACCCTACATCATCTAGTTGGACTCTCTTCCCCATCTCCTCCTCCTCTTGTATATCTAAAATTCTAGGGCGAAACTGAGAACCACGATATATAGTCTCTAATCATTCTTAGGGTTCTGAGAGAGTGCTCAGCTTCTAGGGTTCCGAAGTATTCGCATCAATGGGTGTATTTCCAAGTTTTTTGTTCGCAACTTTAATATAGTAACAAAAGAGGCAAGTTTTTCTTCTATAATGAATTTCTTTACAATTTAATGTTTTTTCTAGATGCCATTAATCTATATGGTGAATTTATATATGCTGAATTTCTTTGCAGTACGTAGAGTACAAAGGGGCTAACATTAAGCGACAAGAATTTCTACCCCGCGTCATGTTGGCAAGACGTAAGTTCTTTCACTTCATTGTTTTTCACTATTTCATCCTGTTTTCTATGTCACTCACATAAACATTTTTTGTTTTTTGAAAATTGAAAAATCTTTTTGAGAATTTTTCTAGTCATTGATTTATGTTTATTTTCGCTTCACAATGCTTAAAGAAAGAAACCAGAGACAAATAATGAGGTTAGGGTTTGTTCTGGAGGTGATTGATTCTGTGTTTTCTTTATTTTTATTTTTTTAATTTCATCCTGTTTTCTATGTCACTCACATCTAACATATTCATCTACCATATTCTAGTTATTGAACATTTTTTGTTTTTTGAAAATTGAAAAATCTTTTTGAGAACTTCTCGAGTTATTGATTTCTGTTTATTCTTTTGCTTCACAATTTTGGAAATGCTTAAAGAAAGAAACTGGGGACAAATAATGAGTTTAGGGTTTGTTCTGGAGGGTGATTGATTCTGTGTTTTAGTTTCTTTTGGCTCAGGATGTGTTGTTGGACAAATGGTCTTTAATTATTCTCTATCTATGTGAACCACCTTGGAGAATGGGATGGCCTGGCTTCACAAAATAGTCCAAAATCTTTTTTCTTTTTCTTTTTGTCATTTTTTAGATGAGGTTTGGAATTGGATAACTCTGTAATCTTGGATCCCAGAGGAACCTTATCAATAAGGAATAGCTAGAGCGACCAGAGCACTTCGTTACAAGCTTAATGGCAAGTCTGCCTGTGCTCTAACGATCGGAGATCTTAGGCCTGGATCCCCCCTGCTACTCCCACCACTTTGTGCTCCCCCAATGATAAATACTGGCCCTTAATCGGCCCAGCCATTACATCAGCAACCTTACTGATGAGTTGCTTTTTTTATCAAGCTGCTTGAGTTGGAATAATCTCAAGTTGGTGGCTCAAGGCATGATAAGTAGTCATAAACAAGATAACAGAGGAGTACTCTCTTGTTGGGATTTCCTCTGCTCACATTCCAGGCTGGCTTCTTCGATCTTTTTAATGTCGGGTTGTTCTTTGAGCTCCATTTCTTGTAAGATCCTTGACGGCCACCGCATCCCTATTATTATGGGTTCTAAGCGGAAATGACATGCCAAAAGTGGATGGTGAAGGTAAAGTGGCTCTGTTAAATGAAAATAACTTGCTTTCTCTGTTAGGTGGGATGGAAGGAATGGCATCGTCCCGTTAGTACTATATAAAAGGGTAAAGAGGGAATGGCAAGAAGCCCCATACAGCCACTTATTAAAAAAAAGAAGCCCCATACGTTCATCAGATGAAAGGGAACTTGTTTAATGTATTATCTAAAAGGGTAAGAGGGAATGGCAATTGTTTTTGTTTTGAAGCCTGTATTTCCTTCCCAGTCCCTCACACAGCTGGATTTTGAAATCTGCCTCTTTTTTGGGGGCTTTCTTATTTGATCAAAATATAGTATTAGCTAAGTGGAAAAGGAATGGTGATCAGTCCCCCTTCCCTTAACGTTGTTAAAAACTAATATACAAAGAAGGCAGGCAGAAATAGAGTCCAGGTCTAAAGGTGCTCGAGGCTTTATAAGGCAAGATTTGTAATAAGGGCTTCAATTATTGAGGGTATTTTGGGTCAGGAAGAATTCATTTTTTTCTACCACTGAGACAAGAATGCTGCCACACATGGGGTAAATCAACAAAGAAAGTTATTTTTGATTAATGTTAATTAACTAAATAGGATGATGTGAACATGTTTAATTAAAGTGATAACGATCTTTAAATCTTCATGTTTTAGTAAATGTTTTGATTGGTGACAGATGATGGGAAGGATAATGTGCTGAATGGCGTCATGCTCATTGACTCTGCTCTAATGTCAATGACTCTGGTATGGCTTTCAGAATCTGCATCTAACTTGTATAAAGTTTTGATGATGTTAATTCTCTTTTTTAGACTATTTTTTTTTCTTTTTTGGGTAAATAACATGTATGTATTGATGATAACAATAATTTTTTGTATTAGACTATTTTGGTTGCATTCGTGATCTTTTTAATTTGTTATGTTGGCATATTAGATGACAATCATGATACATTCCACCTAAGAATTATAACAACTGATTTTTGTTTGGAATGAAAATTTGATAACAGTCTCACATGTCTTGTTTTGAATAATGATACTTTTAACTAATGAAGAATTAGTTGCCTATTAATCTAATATTTTAATTCAGGATTTGTCTTTCGTTTCCGTTTCAAAGTCTATTTAGTATAATTAAAAATTATATTGGTAATGAAATTTTGGAATGTTTCGAACAAGGTATATCTGCTTTCTTTTTCATCCTGGAAGTTAAAACACATTTTCACTAATTATAATTGAAATTTTCACTAATTATGATTAAATGGTTACTTTGAAAAATGAGATTCACCAAAACGGCTTTTTGTTTATAAAGTCATTTCTCCTTTCTATTTAAATTGGTCAACACCTTAGCATGCTTGACACTACTGGCAGTGATTGAATTAAATTGTTCAAACACTTTTCCCACCCACGTTATGAGTTGAATTTTTTTTTAATGAACTTACCTTTTTTTTGCTTTTATATCTATTGCTTGAATCATTTCGTGAAATGAGTTGATAAAACATAATTCAAATTTCTAAAACAATAATATGGGCGACAAGTGCACATTATGAGACCAAGTGATGCAATATGTATATCACGTGTTCTTGCTCTCGACAACTACTTTATCTAATATATATCTATAGTTTTTGTTAAAGCCTCTCCATTCAAATAAAATGTTTTGTGAATAATTGGGCTGGTGTAACTTTACTTTCATCCATGTCTTCTTTGGTTGAAATTATGCATGGATAGTTTATTTTGATGTACTTGAATTTTACAGAGAGAGATGTATCAAGGAGTTTTAAGAAAAATTCCTGGGGTTGTTTCCAGCCCATTCAGAGTCCCGTATTTCGGTGAGTTATAATTTTTCCCATTTTGATTTATGGGTAATTCGTCTCTTCAGCTAATAATTTGTATTTTGTTTTTGTTTTTGTTTTTTTGACTCTTGAATCTTGAAGAAGCCCACCGTCAGCTAATAATTTGTATTTCTTTGTTTGCGTGTGTCATCACACTCTAAAGCCTGCATATGTGTAGCAGAATATGTGTTGTGACTTTGCTTTGCTTTGCTTTCCTTTGTTACTATGCCAATCCATGTTAAGTTTTATCTTGTCCTTCCCTTTGCATTGTCTTCAATGTGGACCATGTCACTTTTGTCACGGATGTATATTTTTTTTTTCCTAGTTGCATATGTAGTTATTGTTAACCATCTAAATCATTTTTTTAATTTTATTTTATCATATTTCCAATGTGTGTTGTTTCTCCATTTCTGGTTGAAACCCCATCACCATGGTCACCATCCACCATTCTAATTGTCTGCTAGCAACTCCACTAATACTCACCACTCTTGACATCTGTAGATAACCATCAGTTCATCACAATCAACCTTGCTGAAACCTAAGCTTCGAATTGATTGGAGCAAAGTTCAATTTGGGTGATTTTGGGGAATTTTGGGGGGTTTTACTTCAATTCAAGGTAGAGTTGTTTAATTGTTGAACTCCTTAGGTTTGGTAGTTAATTGCAATGTTTTTCCCCACCTAACATGTTAAATTGATGCTTAATTGAATAGTTGTTGCCTCATAGGGTTACATATGCATAATTGTTACTGCAATTATTATGCTATATGTGACTGACTATGTTTTTGAATGCTATGTGAAATTCATATGCTATGTGTGAGAGCTTTTATATCTTCAAACATGTTATATGTGATGTAAATGACTTCTTTAATTTGTGTCATCCCTAACTTTTTATTTGTGTGCAGATGTTTCTATTGAGCAGAAATCTTGTGCACATCTTGCGTCATTTGGGGAAATGCGTATTCTATTTTGCAAGACTATATTTTTTGATTTGCACTTCGGATTGACAAATGGATCTAGATGGTTCTCTACATATGATGCTGATGTAGAAATCGTAGAAATGGTAAGTGTTTCAATCTAATTGTTAATTTTCCATGAATTTCTTTATAGATTGATAATTGTGTAGTTGTTAATTTCCAGTTGAAAATGAGGTTTATTGAAGATGGGCACAAGAAGGCACTTTTTAAAAATGGTTGTCTGTTGCCAAAATGGATGTCGACTGAAAATCTTCAGCTTCCTCGGGAAACAAAATTTCTAACCGAAATTGACTATATGAATTGTGTCGGGAGGCTTTCAAATACCGATCAGTGGCATTCTTTTGTTCACTTTTTACGAAAAGATCTCATATATGTGGTGGAGGGAAATGATGAGAGTTTTTTGAAGCATGCTATGAATAGATTTTTGTGGCATAATCCCTGTAATTTTTACCCTGTGGCAAATGTGGATGCATCAGTAGATGAATATGGCAATGCAAGTGTTGCTGTTGTCATTAGGAGTCCTAATGGTGTGATAGAGAACACCTTTTTCATGTCACTGGAGGGGAAAATGTCTAGCCGTTCGGCGGAAGTAAAAAGCGGCGAACTGGCTATTTTAGTGACTTCCGAGTTGGGGTATGATTCTCTTGAGATAAGAAGCGACTCGGGAGATTACGTCAATGGTATGCGTGGCAAATTTAAAACCGAGGAGGATGACCTGGAATTCATTAACTGCCGGTAAGTAGTTTATTTTATTTTATTTATGTAACAATGCAATTTATATCTTGTTTATTAAGAGTTTTTTTTTAATTCTTTTTGGCAGTGTGCAGAGGAAATTGGGTAAAGAAAAGTTTGGTATTAATCTTAAAGTCGTGTTCGTTTTGAGGGAGGTGAATGCTGTTGCAGATTTCTTGTCCAGAATTCCACAAATTCGCGCCAAGTATGGTTCCAGGGCGGTTAAGGCGGTTGAGACAAAATAGAGTATGCTACAATTTGCTGCTCATTTCCTGCTCCCTCCTCCAAAATTTAGCTGTTTCATCCTCCAAAATTTAGCTGTCTTATTTCTGCGGATCATTTTCGTCTTTTTCAAGATCGAAAAGCTATTCTACAGAATTTTTTCAGAAAGCAGCGGCGACTAACTGATTTTTTGAAGAGGAGGAAGGATGAGACAGCTAAATTTTGGATGAGAGAGCAGGAAATGAGACAGCTAAATTTTGGATGATGAAACAGCTAAATTTTGGAGGAGGGAGCAGGAAATGAGTAGCAAATTGTAGCATACCCTTATTTTGTCAACCTGCTCCCTCGTCCAAAATTTAGCTGTCTCATCCTTCCTCCTCTTCAAAAAATCAGTTAGTCGCCGCTGCTTTCTGAAAAAATTCTGTGGAGTAGTTTTTCGATCCAAAATTTAGCTGTCTCATCCTTCCTACTCTTCAAAAAATCAGTTAGTCGCCGCTGCTTTCTGAAAAAATTCTGTGGAGTAGTTTTTCGATCTTGAGAAAGACGAAAATGATCCGCAGGAAATGAGACAGTTAAATTTTGGAGGATGAAACAGCTAAATTTTGGAGGAGGGAGCAGGAAATGAGCAGCAAATTGTAGCATACTCTATTTTGTCAAAACTCTCTTTTTATTAAAAGCTTTATTGGGATCTTATATAATATTGGCCTACAAGTGTCGGGGTTTTTCTATAAATATCGTGAAGCATTAATCTATTTGTTTTTTTATAAATATCGTGTAGCATTATATAATATTGGACTACATGTGTCTTGGGGTTTTTCTATAAATATCGTGAAGCATTAATCTATTTATTTTTCTATAAGTATCGTGTAGCATTAATCAAAAGAAGATTTTGTTAATTCATGTATAATGAATAAGTAGTTTGATATCCAACCAGTCAGGAATGTTACTATAGCGGCCGATGCAACAACCACAGGTGCACTTGGGTGATCCTTTGCTACTTTGCTCAGCAAGGCAAGATCCATAGAAATTTTAGAAGCAATCCTATTTTGCCCTAAGACTACCAAGAAAGGGAAAAAGTTCCAAGAATAATAGACAAAGAACTACTCTTTATCATATTCGGTGTTGTAAGAGTCAGACCTAAGTCGAAGGGCATGTCATGTCTTACGAGGAAGGAGGCAAGCGCTAACAAGCAATAGAATCGACAAAGAAGGTGGGGAGTAGATGATCCAGCTGAAAATCATGCCCTCTAAAAAATAGAGGGATTTGACAATGGCGGTTGTTGGCGAAATAAATTAAGAAAGCAGGAATTCTGGGAATTTTTTGTTTCATTATCTTGTTGGGTTTGATCACTAGATAGTTGAGGCCTGAAATTCTCAGGGGAATCCAAACAAGAAAATTAGATATCAAAATTACAACAAAAACCTCATAACAAATGGTAATGGGTCTGAAAGTATGAGGGCTCTTAGCTCTTATTGATTGTTGAAGAGTGGTAATGGCAGCGACTGTGATAGATTGTGGAATGATGACTTTGTGGTGAGAGCGTTGGATGAACATATTTTGTTGCGTTTTGGATGTGAGACTGGGATGATTTAGTCATTAGGAATTAGGGTTATGAGTTATAATATATATAATTTTAATATAGTATATACGGCGGGGTGGATAATTTTTAGAACCCGTTTTCGGCCCGTGATCCATGACAGATCTCAAAGTTAAATACATACCCGTCTGGACGGATAATTTTTAGGACCAATCCCGACCCTGTGACCCGTGACAGGTCTCAAAGTTTAATCCATACCTGCCCCAACGATATAAAAATGTTTTTCATATCCACTATTAACGGGTCGGTAAAAATTGCCATCTCTACCCGTGCACAGTTGATTCAAAATCTGGCTGCAGTATGCACAAAAGATCTAAAGAAAGACCATTTGGGTTATAACATTGACAAAACTAAGCACACCTTCTGTGTGATAATGGAAAGTATAGAACAAATGCATGATCCTTTAATCAATTCGGCAACTGGAAAGGGTGACCCTGCAAATAGGTTTTTGGGTGCTGAAATCTCAACCGCTCAGTCCAGCATCTTCAACATGTAACTCATCCATGGTTGCATCATTCTGGCCAAAACTTGAGCATTCCACAAAGCAACCATTGCCATCCTCCCTGCCTTCTCTGTACTTAACCCAAGCAACCATTGACGAACAACAAATTATATACTTTACTACAGAACAAGCAACAGATGTAGGCAATTACTATTAAATCCGGAGAGACAACTCAACTTCTGCAATAATGTAAATAACAGCCAGCAACAAATCCAGTTAAAAATTAACAACAGTTCAACAGTGCATTATCTCTTCTCATCTTGCAAGCTGCTGCCTTTACTGAGATTAAAATTACAAAAATACATTGTCGATCATATAAGTTTAAAGGTACATTACACAGAGACAGTTACTCTAATCATTACTAATTTTTATTTTTATTTTAGATTTACTCATTTTAAACTATCTTGAAATTCTGATTTATCATCTTCGATTCGTAATCAGAAAAATTCATTGATGTTTTTTTGGCATCGTAAATAAAAATTTGTTTGATCTGTGTTTTGTATGTCCACAGCCCACTGACTCTGTAACAAGGAACTGCGTTACTTTCGAAAAAAAAAAATAATAATAATAATAAATTAAAAGAACTGCGTTTCCCACAGTCAATGATGCATCATGCCAAAGCATTGAATATGATAACTGTTCACCCTGTCATGTCATAAATGTGAAAAGACTATACCATTGGTGATTTACAGCTGTATTGATGGAGAAGAGATGATTAGGTGGCCGGTACCCATCACCTCGTTTGTGGTCCGAATCACTAATATTCTGCCACGTAGTGGAGACTTTGGTCGATGAAACATTTATGTATCTAGAGTATTTATGTTGGCAGTAGTGAATGACAACCCAATTTTCAAAAAAAAATTAAAAATGGTATATTTACATTACCTAGTGCAGGTATATATATATATATTTTAAAAATGTTAATATTATTATATATATATTAATATTATTATTGTCTATATAGAGACTTGTACCATTGAGAAAGTAGATACTCATCTTTTTACCCTACATCATCTAGTTGGACTCTCTTCCCCATCTCCTCCTCCTCTTGTATATCTAAAATTCTAGGGCGAAACTGAGAACCACGATATATAGTCTCTAATCATTCTTAGGGTTCTGAGAGAGTGCTCAGCTTCTAGGGTTCCGAAGTATTCGCATCAATGGGTGTATTTCCAAGTTTTTTGTTCGCAACTTTAATATAGTAACAAAAGAGGCAAGTTTTTCTTCTATAATGAATTTCTTTACAATTTAATGTTTTTTCTAGATGCCATTAATCTATATGGTGAATTTATATATGCTGAATTTCTTTGCAGTACGTAGAGTACAAAGGGGCTAACATTAAGCGACAAGAATTTCTACCCCGCGTCATGTTGGCAAGACGTAAGTTCTTTCACTTCATTGTTTTTCACTATTTCATCCTGTTTTCTATGTCACTCACATAAACATTTTTTGTTTTTTGAAAATTGAAAAATCTTTTTGAGAATTTTTCTAGTCATTGATTTATGTTTATTTTCGCTTCACAATGCTTAAAGAAAGAAACCAGAGACAAATAATGAGGTTAGGGTTTGTTCTGGAGGTGATTGATTCTGTGTTTTCTTTATTTTTATTTTTTTAATTTCATCCTGTTTTCTATGTCACTCACATCTAACATATTCATCTACCATATTCTAGTTATTGAACATTTTTTGTTTTTTGAAAATTGAAAAATCTTTTTGAGAACTTCTCGAGTTATTGATTTCTGTTTATTCTTTTGCTTCACAATTTTGGAAATGCTTAAAGAAAGAAACTGGGGACAAATAATGAGTTTAGGGTTTGTTCTGGAGGGTGATTGATTCTGTGTTTTAGTTTCTTTTGGCTCAGGATGTGTTGTTGGACAAATGGTCTTTAATTATTCTCTATCTATGTGAACCACCTTGGAGAATGTGATGGCCTGGCTTCACAAAATAGTCCAAAATCTTTTTTCTTTTTCTTTTTGTCATTTTTTAGATGAGGTTTGGAATTGGATAACTCTGTAATCTTGGATCCCAGAGGAACCTTATCAATAAGGAATAGCTAGAGCGACCAGAGCACTTCGTTACAAGCTTAATGGCAAGTCTGCCTGTGCTCTAACGATCGGAGATCTTAGGCCTGGATCCCCCCTGCTACTCCCACCACTTTGTGCTCCCCCAATGATAAATACTGGCCCTTAATCGGCCCAGCCATTACATCAGCAACCTTACTGATGAGTTGCTTTTTTTATCAAGCTGCTTGAGTTGGAATAATCTCAAGTTGGTGGCTCAAGGCATGATAAGTAGTCATAAACAAGATAACAGAGGAGTACTCTCTTGTTGGGATTTCCTCTGCTCACATTCCAGGCTGGCTTCTTGGATCTTTTTAATGTCGGGTTGTAAGATCCTTGACGGCCACCGCATCCCTATTATTATGGGTTCTAAGCGGAAATGACATGCCAAAAGTGGATGGTGAAGGTAAAGTGGCTCTGTTAAATGAAAATAACTTGCTTTCTCTGTTAGGTGGGATGGAAGGAATGGCATCGTCCCGTTAGTACTATATAAAAGGGTAAAGAGGGAATGGCAAGAAGCCCCATACAGCCACTTATTAAAAAAAAGAAGAAGCCCCATACGTTCATCAGATGAAAGGGAACTTGTTTAATGTATTATCTAAAAGGGTAAGAGGGAATGGCAATTGTTTTTGTTTTGAAGCCTGTATTTCCTTCCCAGTCCCTCACACAGCTGGATTTTGAAATCTGCCTCTTTTTTGGGGGCTTTCTTATTTGATCAAAATATAGTATTAGCTAAGTGGAAAAGGAATGGTGATCAGTCCCCCTTCCCTTAACGTTGTTAAAAACTAATATACAAAGAAGGCAGGCAGAAATAGAGTCCAGGTCTAAAGGTGCTCGAGGCTTTATAAGGCAAGATTTGTAATAAGGGCTTCAATTATTGAGGGTATTTTGGGTCAGGAAGAATTCATTTTTTTCTACCACTGAGACAAGAATGCTGCCACACATGGGGTAAATCAACAAAGAAAGTTATTTTTGATTAATGTTAATTAACTAAATAGGATGATGTGAACATGTTTAATTAAAGTGATAACGATCTTTAAATCTTCATGTTTTAGTAAATGTTTTGATTGGTGACAGATGATGGGAAGGATAATGTGCTGAATGGCGTCATGCTCATTGACTCTGCTCTAATGTCAATGACTCTGGTATGGCTTTCAGAATCTGCATCTAACTTGTATAAAGTTTTGATGATGTTAATTCTCTTTTTTAGACTATTTTTTTTTCTTTTTTGGGTAAATAACATGTATGTATTGATGATAACAATAATTTTTTGTATTAGACTATTTTGGTTGCATTCGTGATCTTTTTAATTTGTTATGTTGGCATATTAGATGACAATCATGATACATTCCACCTAAGAATTATAACAACTGATTTTTGTTTGGAATGAAAATTTGATAACAGTCTCACATGTCTTGTTTTGAATAATGATACTTTTAACTAATGAAGAATTAGTTGCCTATTAATCTAATATTTTAATTCAGGATTTGTCTTTCGTTTCCGTTTCAAAGTCTATTTAGTATAATTAAAAATTATATTGGTAATGAAATTTTGGAATGTTTCGAACAAGGTATATCTGCTTTCTTTTTCATCCTGGAAGTTAAAACACATTTTCACTAATTATAATTGAAATTTTCACTAATTATGATTAAATGGTTACTTTGAAAAATGAGATTCACCAAAACGGCTTTTTGTTTATAAAGTCATTTCTCCTTTCTATTTAAATTGGTCAACACCTTAGCATGCTTGACACTACTGGCAGTGATTGAATTAAATTGTTCAAACACTTTTCCCACCCACGTTATGAGTTGAATTTTTTTTTAATGAACTTACCTTTTTTTTGCTTTTATATCTATTGCTTGAATCATTTCGTGAAATGAGTTGATAAAACATAATTCAAATTTCTAAAACAATAATATGGGCGACAAGTGCACATTATGAGACCAAGTGATGCAATATGTATATCACGTGTTCTTGCTCTCGACAACTACTTTATCTAATATATATCTATAGTTTTTGTTAAAGCCTCTCCATTCAAATAAAATGTTTTGTGAATAATTGGGCTGGTGTAACTTTACTTTCATCCATGTCTTCTTTGGTTGAAATTATGCATGGATAGTTTATTTTGATGTACTTGAATTTTACAGAGAGAGATGTATCAAGGAGTTTTAAGAAAAATTCCTGGGGTTGTTTCCAGCCCATTCAGAGTCCCGTATTTCGGTGAGTTATAATTTTTCCCATTTTGATTTATGGGTAATTCGTCTCTTCAGCTAATAATTTGTATTTTGTTTTTGTTTTTGTTTTTTTGACTCTTGAATCTTGAAGAAGCCCACCGTCAGCTAATAATTTGTATTTCTTTGTTTGCGTGTGTCATCACACTCTAAAGCCTGCATATGTGTAGCAGAATATGTGTTGTGACTTTGCTTTGCTTTGCTTTCCTTTGTTACTATGCCAATCCATGTTAAGTTTTATCTTGTCCTTCCCTTTGCATTGTCTTCAATGTGGACCATGTCACTTTTGTCACGGATGTATATTTTTTTTTTCCTAGTTGCATATGTAGTTATTGTTAACCATCTAAATCATTTTTTTAATTTTATTTTATCATATTTCCAATGTGTGTTGTTTCTCCATTTCTGGTTGAAACCCCATCACCATGGTCACCATCCACCATTCTAATTGTCTGCTAGCAACTCCACTAATACTCACCACTCTTGACATCTGTAGATAACCATCAGTTCATCACAATCAACCTTGCTGAAACCTAAGCTTCGAATTGATTGGAGCAAAGTTCAATTTGGGTGATTTTGGGGAATTTTGGGGGGTTTTACTTCAATTCAAGGTAGAGTTGTTTAATTGTTGAACTCCTTAGGTTTGGTAGTTAATTGCAATGTTTTTCCCCACCTAACATGTTAAATTGATGCTTAATTGAATAGTTGTTGCCTCATAGGGTTACATATGCATAATTGTTACTGCAATTATTATGCTATATGTGACTGACTATGTTTTTGAATGCTATGTGAAATTCATATGCTATGTGTGAGAGCTTTTATATCTTCAAACATGTTATATGTGATGTAAATGACTTCTTTAATTTGTGTCATCCCTAACTTTTTATTTGTGTGCAGATGTTTCTATTGAGCAGAAATCTTGTGCACATCTTGCGTCATTTGGGGAAATGCGTATTCTATTTTGCAAGACTATATTTTTTGATTTGCACTTCGGATTGACAAATGGATCTAGATGGTTCTCTACATATGATGCTGATGTAGAAATCGTAGAAATGGTAAGTGTTTCAATCTAATTGTTAATTTTCCATGAATTTCTTTATAGATTGATAATTGTGTAGTTGTTAATTTCCAGTTGAAAATGAGGTTTATTGAAGATGGGCACAAGAAGGCACTTTTTAAAAATGGTTGTCTGTTGCCAAAATGGATGTCGACTGAAAATCTTCAGCTTCCTCGGCAAACAAAATTTCTAACCGAAATTGACTATATGAATTGTGTCGGGAGGCTTTCAAATACCGATCAGTGGCATTCTTTTGTTCACTTTTTACGAAAAGATCTCATATATGTGGTGGAGGGAAATGATGAGAGTTTTTTGAAGCATGCTATGAATAGATTTTTGTGGCATAATCCCTGTAATTTTTACCCTGTGGCAAATGTGGATGCATCAGTAGATGAATATGGCAATGCAAGTGTTGCTGTTGTCATTAGGAGTCCTAATGGTGTGATAGAGAACACCTTTTTCATGTCACTGGAGGGGAAAATGTCTAGCCGTTCTGCGGAAGTAAAAAGCGGCGAACTGGCTATTTTAGTGGCTTTCGAGTTGGGGTATGATTCTCTTGAGATAAGAAGCGACTCGGGAGATTACGTCAATGGTATGCGTGGCAAATTTAAAACCGAGGAGGATGACCTGGAATTCATTAACTGCCGGTAAGTAGTTTATTTTATTTTATTTATGTAACAATGCAATTTATATCTTGTTTATTAAGAGTTTTTTTTTAATTCTTTTTGGCAGTGTGCAGAGGAAATTGGGTAAAGAAAAGTTTGGTATTAATCTTAAAGTCGTGTTCGTTTTGAGGGAGGTGAATGCTGTTGCAGATTTCTTGTCCAGAATTCCACAAATTCGCGCCAAGTATGGTTCCAGGGCGGTTAAGGCGGTTGAGACAAAATAGAGTATGCTACAATTTGCTGCTCATTTCCTGCTCCCTCCTCCAAAATTTAGCTGTTTCATCCTCCAAAATTTAGCTGTCTTATTTCTGCGGATCATTTTCGTCTTTTTCAAGATCGAAAAGCTATTCTACAGAATTTTTTCAGAAAGCAGCGGCGACTAACTGATTTTTTGAAGAGGAGGAAGGATGAGACAGCTAAATTTTGGATGAGAGAGCAGGAAATGAGACAGCTAAATTTTGGATGATGAAACAGCTAAATTTTGGAGGAGGGAGCAGGAAATGAGTAGCAAATTGTAGCATACCCTTATTTTGTCAACCTGCTCCCTCGTCCAAAATTTAGCTGTCTCATCCTTCCTCCTCTTCAAAAAATCAGTTAGTCGCCGCTGCTTTCTGAAAAAATTCTGTGGAGTAGTTTTTCGATCTTGAGAAAGACGAAAATGATCCGCAGGAAATGAGACAGTTAAATTTTGGAGGATGAAACAGCTAAATTTTGGAGGAGGGAGCAGGAAATGAGCAGCAAATTGTAGCATACTCTATTTTGTCAAAACTCTCTTTTTATTAAAAGCTTTATTGGGATCTTATATAATATTGGCCTACAAGTGTCGGGGTTTTTCTATAAATATCGTGAAGCATTAATCTATTTGTTTTTCTATAAATATCGTGTAGCATTATATAATATTGGACTACATGTGTCTTGGGGTTTTTCTATAAATATCGTGAAGCATTAATCTATTTATTTTTCTATAAGTATCGTGTAGCATTAATCAAAAGAAGATTTTGTTAATTCATGTATAATGAATAAGTAGTTTGATATCCAACCAGTCAGGAATGTTACTATAGCGGCCGATGCAACAACCACAGGTGCACTTGGGTGATCCTTTGCTACTTTGCTCAGCAAGGCAAGATCCATAGAAATTTTAGAAGCAATCCTATTTTGCCCTAAGACTACCAAGAAAGGGAAAAAGTTCCAAGAATAATAGACAAAGAACTACTCTTTATCATATTCGGTGTTGTAAGAGTCAGACCTAAGTCGAAGGGCATGTCATGTCTTACGAGGAAGGAGGCAAGCGCTAACAAGCAATAGAATCGACAAAGAAGGTGGGGAGTAGATGATCCAGCTGAAAATCATGCCCTCTAAAAAATAGAGGGATTTGACAATGGCGGTTGTTGGCGAAATAAATTAAGAAAGCAGGAATTCTGGGAATTTTTTGTTTCATTATCTTGTTGGGTTTGATCACTAGATAGTTGAGGCCTGAAATTCTCAGGGGAATCCAAACAAGAAAATTAGATATCAAAATTACAACAAAAACCTCATAACAAATGGTAATGGGTCTGAAAGTATGAGGGCTCTTAGCTCTTATTGATTGTTGAAGAGTGGTAATGGCAGCGACTGTGATAGATTGTGGAATGATGACTTTGTGGTGAGAGCGTTGGATGAACATATTTTGTTGCGTTTTGGATGTGAGACTGGGATGCTTTAGTCATTAGGAATTAGGGTTATGAGTTATAATATATATAATTTTAATATAGTATATACGGCGGGGTGGATAATTTTTAGAACCCGTTTTCGGCCCGTGATCCATGACAGATCTCAAAGTTAAATACATACCCGTCTGGACGGATAATTTTTAGGACCAATCCCGACCCTGTGACCCGTGACAGGTCTCAAAGTTTAATCCATACCCGCCCCAACGATATAAAAATGTTTTTCATATCCACTATTAACGGGTCGGTAAAAATTGCCATCTCTACCCGTGCACAGTTGATTCAAAATCTGGCTGCAGTATGCACAAAAGATCTAAAGAAAGACCATTTGGGTTATAACATTGACAAAACTAAGCACACCTTCTGTGTGATAATGGAAAGTATAGAACAAATGCATGATCCTTTAATCAATTCGGCAACTGGAAAGGGTGACCCTGCAAATAGGTTTTTGGGTGCTGAAATCTCAACCGCTCAGTCCAGCATCTTCAACATGTAACTCATCCATGGTTGCATCATTCTGGCCAAAACTTGAGCATTCCACAAAGCAACCATTGCCATCCTCCCTGCCTTCTCTGTACTTAACCCAAGCAACCATTGACGAACAACAAATTATATACTTTACTACAGAACAAGCAACAGATGTAGGCAATTACTATTAAATCCGGAGAGACAACTCAACTTCTGCAATAATGTAAATAACAGCCAGCAACAAATCCAGTTAAAAATTAACAACAGTTCAACAGTGCATTATCTCTTCTCATCTTGCAAGCTGCTGCCTTTACTGAGATTAAAATTACAAAAATACATTGTCGATCATATAAGTTTAAAGGTACATTACACAGAGACAGTTACTCTAATCATTACTAATTTTTATTTTTATTTTAGATTTACTCATTTTAAACTATCTTGAAATTCTGATTTATCATCTTCGATTCGTAATCAGAAAAATTCATTGATGTTTTTTTGGCATCGTAAATAAAAATTTGTTTGATCTGTGTTTTGTATGTCCACAGCCCACTGACTCTGTAACAAGGAACTGCGTTACTTTCGAAAAAAAAAAATAATAATAATAATAAATTAAAAGAACTGCGTTTCCCACAGTCAATGATGCATCATGCCAAAGCATTGAATATGATAACTGTTCACCCTGTCATGTCATAAATGTGAAAAGACTATACCATTGGTGATTTACAGCTGTATTGATGGAGAAGAGATGATTAGGTGGCCGGTACCCATCACCTCGTTTGTGGTCCGAATCACTAATATTCTGCCACGTAGTGGAGACTTTGGTCGATGAAACATTTATGTATCTAGAGTATTTATGTTGGCAGTAGTGAATGACAACCCAATTTTCAAAAAAAAATTAAAAATGGTATATTTACATTACCTAGTGCAGGTATATATATATATATTTTAAAAATGTTAATATTATTATATATATATTAATATTATTATTGTCTATATAGAGACTTGTACCATTGAGAAAGTAGATACTCATCTTTTTACCCTACATCATCTAGTTGGACTCTCTTCCCCATCTCCTCCTCCTCTTGTATATCTAAAATTCTAGGGCGAAACTGAGAACCACGATATATAGTCTCTAATCATTCTTAGGGTTCTGAGAGAGTGCTCAGCTTCTAGGGTTCCGAAGTATTCGCATCAATGGGTGTATTTCCAAGTTTTTTGTTCGCAACTTTAATATAGTAACAAAAGAGGCAAGTTTTTCTTCTATAATGAATTTCTTTACAATTTAATGTTTTTTCTAGATGCCATTAATCTATATGGTGAATTTATATATGCTGAATTTCTTTGCAGTACGTAGAGTACAAAGGGGCTAACATTAAGCGACAAGAATTTCTACCCCGCGTCATGTTGGCAAGACGTAAGTTCTTTCACTTCATTGTTTTTCACTATTTCATCCTGTTTTCTATGTCACTCACATAAACATTTTTTGTTTTTTGAAAATTGAAAAATCTTTTTGAGAATTTTTCTAGTCATTGATTTATGTTTATTTTCGCTTCACAATGCTTAAAGAAAGAAACCAGAGACAAATAATGAGGTTAGGGTTTGTTCTGGAGGTGATTGATTCTGTGTTTTCTTTATTTTTATTTTTTTAATTTCATCCTGTTTTCTATGTCACTCACATCTAACATATTCATCTACCATATTCTAGTTATTGAACATTTTTTGTTTTTTGAAAATTGAAAAATCTTTTTGAGAACTTCTCGAGTTATTGATTTCTGTTTATTCTTTTGCTTCACAATTTTGGAAATGCTTAAAGAAAGAAACTGGGGACAAATAATGAGTTTAGGGTTTGTTCTGGAGGGTGATTGATTCTGTGTTTTAGTTTCTTTTGGCTCAGGATGTGTTGTTGGACAAATGGTCTTTAATTATTCTCTATCTATGTGAACCACCTTGGAGAATGGGATGGCCTGGCTTCACAAAATAGTCCAAAATCTTTTTTCTTTTTCTTTTTGTCATTTTTTAGATGAGGTTTGGAATTGGATAACTCTGTAATCTTGGATCCCAGAGGAACCTTATCAATAAGGAATAGCTAGAGCGACCAGAGCACTTCGTTACAAGCTTAATGGCAAGTCTGCCTGTGCTCTAACGATCGGAGATCTTAGGCCTGGATCCCCCCTGCTACTCCCACCACTTTGTGCTCCCCCAATGATAAATACTGGCCCTTAATCGGCCCAGCCATTACATCAGCAACCTTACTGATGAGTTGCTTTTTTTATCAAGCTGCTTGAGTTGGAATAATCTCAAGTTGGTGGCTCAAGGCATGATAAGTAGTCATAAACAAGATAACAGAGGAGTACTCTCTTGTTGGGATTTCCTCTGCTCACATTCCAGGCTGGCTTCTTGGATCTTTTTAATGTCGGGTTGTAAGATCCTTGACGGCCACCGCATCCCTATTATTATGGGTTCTAAGCGGAAATGACATGCCAAAAGTGGATGGTGAAGGTAAAGTGGCTCTGTTAAATGAAAATAACTTGCTTTCTCTGTTAGGTGGGATGGAAGGAATGGCATCGTCCCGTTAGTACTATATAAAAGGGTAAAGAGGGAATGGCAAGAAGCCCCATACAGCCACTTATTAAAAAAAAGAAGCCCCATACGTTCATCAGATGAAAGGGAACTTGTTTAATGTATTATCTAAAAGGGTAAGAGGGAATGGCAATTGTTTTTGTTTTGAAGCCTGTATTTCCTTCCCAGTCCCTCACACAGCTGGATTTTGAAATCTGCCTCTTTTTTGGGGGCTTTCTTATTTGATCAAAATATAGTATTAGCTAAGTGGAAAAGGAATGGTGATCAGTCCCCCTTCCCTTAACGTTGTTAAAAACTAATATACAAAGAAGGCAGGCAGAAATAGAGTCCAGGTCTAAAGGTGCTCGAGGCTTTATAAGGCAAGATTTGTAATAAGGGCTTCAATTATTGAGGGTATTTTGGGTCAGGAAGAATTCATTTTTTTCTACCACTGAGACAAGAATGCTGCCACACATGGGGTAAATCAACAAAGAAAGTTATTTTTGATTAATGTTAATTAACTAAATAGGATGATGTGAACATGTTTAATTAAAGTGATAACGATCTTTAAATCTTCATGTTTTAGTAAATGTTTTGATTGGTGACAGATGATGGGAAGGATAATGTGCTGAATGGCGTCATGCTCATTGACTCTGCTCTAATGTCAATGACTCTGGTATGGCTTTCAGAATCTGCATCTAACTTGTATAAAGTTTTGATGATGTTAATTCTCTTTTTTAGACTATTTTTTTTCTTTTTTGGGTAAATAACATGTATGTATTGATGATAACAATAATTTTTTGTATTAGACTATTTTGGTTGCATTCGTGATCTTTTTAATTTGTTATGTTGGCATATTAGATGACAATCATGATACATTCCACCTAAGAATTATAACAACTGATTTTTGTTTGGAATGAAAATTTGATAACAGTCTCACATGTCTTGTTTTGAATAATGATACTTTTAACTAATGAAGAATTAGTTGCCTATTAATCTAATATTTTAATTCAGGATTTGTCTTTCGTTTCCGTTTCAAAGTCTATTTAGTATAATTAAAAATTATATTGGTAATGAAATTTTGGAATGTTTCGAACAAGGTATATCTGCTTTCTTTTTCATCCTGGAAGTTAAAACACATTTTCACTAATTATAATTGAAATTTTCACTAATTATGATTAAATGGTTACTTTGAAAAATGAGATTCACCAAAACGGCTTTTTGTTTATAAAGTCATTTCTCCTTTCTATTTAAATTGGTCAACACCTTAGTATGCTTGACACTACTGGCAGTGATTGAATTAAATTGTTCAAACACTTTTCCCACCCACGTTATGAGTTGAATTTTTTTTTAATGAACTTACCTTTTTTTTGCTTTTATATCTATTGCTTGAATCATTTCGTGAAATGAGTTGATAAAACATAATTCAAATTTCTAAAACAATAATATGGGCGACAAGTGCACATTATGAGACCAAGTGATGCAATATGTATATCACGTGTTCTTGCTCTCGACAACTACTTTATCTAATATATATCTATAGTTTTTGTTAAAGCCTCTCCATTCAAATAAAATGTTTTGTGAATAATTGGGCTGGTGTAACTTTACTTTCATCCATGTCTTCTTTGGTTGAAATTATGCATGGATAGTTTATTTTGATGTACTTGAATTTTACAGAGAGAGATGTATCAAGGAGTTTTAAGAAAAATTCCTGGGGTTGTTTCCAGCCCATTCAGAGTCCCGTATTTCGGTGAGTTATAATTTTTCCCATTTTGATTTATGGGTAATTCGTCTCTTCAGCTAATAATTTGTATTTTGTTTTTGTTTTTGTTTTTTTGACTCTTGAATCTTGAAGAAGCCCACCGTCAGCTAATAATTTGTATTTCTTTGTTTGCGTGTGTCATCACACTCTAAAGCCTGCATATGTGTAGCAGAATATGTGTTGTGACTTTGCTTTGCTTTGCTTTCCTTTGTTACTATGCCAATCCATGTTAAGTTTTATCTTGTCCTTCCCTTTGCATTGTCTTCAATGTGGACCATGTCACTTTTGTCACGGATGTATATTTTTTTTTTCCTAGTTGCATATGTAGTTATTGTTAACCATCTAAATCATTTTTTTAATTTTATTTTATCATATTTCCAATGTGTGTTGTTTCTCCATTTCTGGTTGAAACCCCATCACCATGGTCACCATCCACCATTCTAATTGTCTGCTAGCAACTCCACTAATACTCACCACTCTTGACATCTGTAGATAACCATCAGTTCATCACAATCAACCTTGCTGAAACCTAAGCTTCGAATTGATTGGAGCAAAGTTCAATTTGGGTGATTTTGGGGAATTTTGGGGGGTTTTACTTCAATTCAAGGTAGAGTTGTTTAATTGTTGAACTCCTTAGGTTTGGTAGTTAATTGCAATGTTTTTCCCCACCTAACATGTTAAATTGATGCTTAATTGAATAGTTGTTGCCTCATAGGGTTACATATGCATAATTGTTACTGCAATTATTATGCTATATGTGACTGACTATGTTTTTGAATGCTATGTGAAATTCATATGCTATGTGTGAGAGCTTTTATATCTTCAAACATGTTATATGTGATGTAAATGACTTCTTTAATTTGTGTCATCCCTAACTTTTTATTTGTGTGCAGATGTTTCTATTGAGCAGAAATCTTGTGCACATCTTGCGTCATTTGGGGAAATGCGTATTCTATTTTGCAAGACTATATTTTTTGATTTGCACTTCGGATTGACAAATGGATCTAGATGGTTCTCTACATATGATGCTGATGTAGAAATCGTAGAAATGGTAAGTGTTTCAATCTAATTGTTAATTTTCCATGAATTTCTTTATAGATTGATAATTGTGTAGTTGTTAATTTCCAGTTGAAAATGAGGTTTATTGAAGATGGGCACAAGCAGGCACTTTTTAAAAATGGTTGTCTGTTGCCAAAATGGATGTCGACTGAAAATCTTCAGCTTCCTCGGGAAACAAAATTTCTAACCGAAATTGACTATATGAATTGTGTCGGGAGGCTTTCAAATACCGATCAGTGGCATTCTTTTGTTCACTTTTTACGAAAAGATCTCATATATGTGGTGGAGGGAAATGATGAGAGTTTTTTGAAGCATGCTATGAATAGATTTTTGTGGCATAATCCCTGTAATTTTTACCCTGTGGCAAATGTGGATGCATCAGTAGATGAATATGGCAATGCAAGTGTTGCTGTTGTCATTAGGAGTCCTAATGGTGTGATAGAGAACACCTTTTTCATGTCACTGGAGGGGAAAATGTCTAGCCGTTCTGCGGAAGTAAAAAGCGGCGAACTGGCTATTTTAGTGGCTTCCGAGTTGGGGTATGATTCTCTTGAGATAAGAAGCGACTCGGGAGATTACGTCAATGGTATGCGTGGCAAATTTAAAACCGAGGAGGATGACCTGGAATTCATTAACTGCCGGTAAGTAGTTTATTTTATTTTATTTATGTAACAATGCAATTTATATCTTGTTTATTAAGAGTTTTTTTTTTAATTCTTTTTGGCAGTGTGCAGAGGAAATTGGGTAAAGAAAAGTTTGGTATTAATCTTAAAGTCGTGTTCGTTTTGAGGGAGGTGAATGCTGTTGCAGATTTCTTGTCCAGAATTTCACAAATTCGCGCAAGTATGGTCCCAGGGCGGTTAAGGCGGTTGAGACAAAATAGAGTATGCTACAATTTGCTGCTCATTTCCTGCTCCCTCCTCCAAAATTTAGCTGTTTCATCTTCCAAAATTTAGCTGTCTTATTTCCTGCGGATCATTTTCGTCTTTTTCAAGATCGAAAAGCTATTCTACAGAATTTTTTCAGAAAGCAGCGGCGACTAACTGATTTTTTGAAGAGGAGGAAGGATGAGACAGCTAAATTTTGGATGAGAGAGCAGGAAATGAGACAGTTAAATTTTGGATGATGAAACAGCTAAATTTTGGAGGGGGAGCAGGAAATGAGTAGCAAATTGTAGCATACTCTTATTTTGTCAACCTGCTCCCTCGTCCAAAATTTAGCTGTCTCATCCTTCCTCTTCTTCAAAAAATCAATTAGTCGCTGCTGTTTTCTGAAAAAATTCTGTGGAGTAGCTTTTCGATCTTGAGAAAGACGAAAATGATCCGCAGGAAATGAGACAGTTAAATTTTGGAGGATGAAACAGCTAAATTTTGGAGGAGGGAGCAGGAAATGAGCAGCAAATTGTAGCATACTTTATTTTGTCAAAACTCTCTTTTTATTAAAAGCTTTATTGGGATCTTATATAATATTGGCCTACAAGTGTCGGGGTTTTTCTATAAATATCGTGAAGCATTAATCTATTTGTTTTTCTATAAATATCGTGTAGCATTATATAATATTGGACTACATGTGTCTTGGGGTTTTTCTATAAATATCGTGAAGCATTAATCTATTTATTTTTCTATAAGTATCGTGTAGCATTAATCAAAAGAAGATTTTGTTAATTCATGTATAATGAATAAGTAGTTTGATATCCAACCAGTCAGGAATGTTACTATAGCGGCCGATGCAACAACCACAGGTGCACTTGGGTGATCCTTTGCTACTTTGCTCAGCAAGGCAAGATCCATAGAAATTTTAGAAGCAATCCTATTTTGCCCTAAGACTACCAAGAAAGGGAAAAAGTTCTAAGAATAATAGACAAAGAACTACTCTTTATCATATTCGGTGTTGTAAGAGTCAGACCTAAGTCGAAGGGCATGTCTTACGAGGAAGGAGGCAAGCGCTAACAAGCAATAGAATCGACAAAGAAGGTGGGGAGTAGATGATCCATCTGAAAATCATGCCCTCTAAAAAATAGAGGGATTTGACAATGGCGGTTGTTGGCGAAATAAATTAAGAAAGCAGGAATTCTGGGAATTTTTTGTTTGATTATCTTGTTGGGTTTGATCACTAGATAGTTGAGGCCTGAAATTCTCAGGGGAATCCAAACAAGAAAATTAGATATCAAAATTACAACAAAAACCTCATAACAAATGGTAATGGGTCTGAAAGTATGAGGGCTCTTAGCTCTTATTGATTGTTAAAGAGTGGTAATGGCAGCGACTGTGATAGATTGTGGAATGATGACTTTGTGGTGAGAGCGTTGGATGAACATATTTTGTTGCGTTTTGGATGTTAGACTGGGATGCTTTAGTCATTAGGAATTAGGGTTATGAGTTATAATATATATAATTTTAATATAGTATATACGGCGGGGTGGATAATTTTTAGTGGATAATTTTTAGAACCCGTTTTCGGCCCGTGACCCATGACAGATCTCAAAGTTAAATACATACCCGTCTGGACGGATAATTTTTAGAACCAATCCCGACCCTGTGACCCGTGACAGGTCTCAAAGTTTAATCCATACCCGTCCCAACGATATAAAAATGTTTTTCATATCCACTATTAACGGGTCGGTAAAAATTGCCATCTCTACCCGTGCACAGTTGATTCAAAATCTGGCTGCAGTATGCACAAAAGATCTAAAGAAAGACCATTTGGGTTATAACATTGACAAAACTAAGCACACCTTTTGTGTGATAATGGAAAGTATAGAACAAATGCATGATCCTTTAATCAATTCGGCAACTGGAAAGGGTGACCCTGCAAATAGGTTTTTGGGTGCTGAAATCTCAACCGCTCAGTCCAGCATCTTCAACATGTAACTCATCCATGGTTGCATCATTCTGGCCAAAACTTGAGCATTCCACAAAGCAACCATTGCCATCCTCCCTGCCTTCTCTGTACTTAACCCAAGCAACCATTGACGAACAACAAATTATATACTTTACTACAGAACAAGTAACAGATGTAGGCAATTACTATTAAATCCGGAGAGACAACTCAACTTCTGCAATAATGTAAATAACAGCCAGCAACAAATCCAGTTAAAAATTAACAACAGTTCAACAGTGCATTATCTCTTCTCATCTTGCAAGCTGCTGCCTTTACTGAGATTAAAATTACAAAAATACATTGTCGATCATATAAGTTTAAAGGTACATTACACAGAGACAGTTACTCTAATCAATATTGGGAGGTTGCTAGGCTGAGGACACGAACAAAAAACTTGGCACAAAAGAGGGTAATTGTCACTATTATAGAGCACAAGGCCTATCATACAAGTGAAGTTTTAGCTGCTTCAGGAGGACAGCAAGAGAACTGCAACAATCATATCAAAGACTTCACGCATCAATAATAAATTCTGCTGTTTAAATGTATGTAGTAAAATAGTGTCTGAAAAGAGGGTATGCAGGTGTCCTTTGCTTGACATAAATGCTGCGAAACCATAATCTCCGAGTTTAAGAAACTCCAGTATATCATTTTAGGAAAGACAATACAAATTTCAAGCATTCTGTTACCTGCCCAACAAGCATATTACACGTTGCTGGATTTATCTTCTACTTTGGCATTTAAAGGATCCTGCAGTTGACAAATTTCACAAATATTAAACCGAGGGTAGAGAGGCATGAAAGTCAATTTACGTTAACTAAAATAAACACCAAAACATTAACTCAGTGTTAAACTGATCAGATGTACGGTTCAAACCAAAATCTCCATAATTTTGTAAGTTCACCAACCGCACATGTACTATAACCAGCTTGACATATATTATTAAAAAAACTTCATGTTACATCTACCTCAAACCTCTCTCACCTTTATCTGGAAAGAAATATAATCTTCTACACACAAAATGATGACATACAACAAACGAAAAAACGAAGTATGGGAAGAAACTGAACGAGTACAATTTAAGGCCAGCACATATTTGCCGTAAAGGCGTACCTAGCTTGTGAAGAGGATACATGAATGCATTCAGGTTTTACTTAGTTTCTGTTAATTTATACTTTTACACCATAGAGAGCTGTTTGCATATGTCCTAGTGTCATGTACAGACCGATAGACAGAGACAGCAGTGGCAGTATTTTGGTTCCAAACTTTCATGGAAATGAGTGTAGCTCTATCATTGGTATATGTTAAGAAGCAAGGACACTTGTGCTGTGTTTAGTATGCAATAATGGAATGGAATGGAATGCTCATTCCAACTATTCCTTTGTTTGGTATGCAATTTAAAGTGAGAATGAGCATTCCATTGGAATGAAAATCCATTCCTGTGAATGAAAATCTATTTCACAACTAAACCCATGAAATGACCATTCCATTCCCAAGTAATTTTTGTTTTAAAAAAATTAAATTCCCAAAAAAACCTTATGTTCCAAGTCCAAAAACCACCAACACCACCACTGCTTTCCACCGCCGCCGCCACTACTATTGCCTTCCAACACCACTACTGTCACCGCCGCCGCTGCCACCACCACTGCCTTTCACCGCTACCACCACCACCACCACCAATGCTGATTTCCACCACAACCGCCATCGCAACCGTCACCTCCATTGCCTTCCACCACCGCCACAGCTATCGCCACCATTGTTGCCACCTTCAACCACCACATTTCCGCCGCCACCACCGACTTCCACCACTATAACCGACCACCGCCACTTCCATTGCCTTCCACCACTGTCATTGCTACCACAACCATCACCATTACCGCCACTGCTACCACTGTTGTCACTGCCACCGCCACTGCCACCGCCACCACCATTTCCATTGCCTTCCACCACCGACCTCTACCACCGCCACTGCCACTGTCTTCCACCACGGCCACCTCTATTGCCACCGTCTTCCACCACCGCCGCCAGCTTCAGTGCCTTCCACCAACATCACCACCATCATCACCTACACCGCCTTCCACCACCACCACCTACACCACTGCTGCCTTCCACCACCACTACCACCGCCATTGCCTTCCACCATCATCGCTTACACCATGGACACCTGACACCACTACCACCAGTACTTCCACCACCACCGCCTTCCACAAACATCATTATCACCTTCTGCCACCACCGCCGCCTACCAACACCACCACCTACACCACTACCCCTTTCTACCTCCACCAACATCTACCACCGCCGCAATTTCTTTTAAAAAAATTATAAAAGAATGTTATTTTATTAATTTAATTTATTTGTCAGTAATATGGTATTTTGGAGAATTCCATTTGAAATTCATTCCATTCTAAATTTTAAATTGGTCCAACCAAAAATAGAATGGTAATTATCATTCCATTCCTATATGTTTCATATTTGCAATCAAACAATAGAATGAGAATGGCCATTGCATTCCATTCTCATTCTCATTCCATTCTCACTTGCATTCCATTCTATTTCTACACACCAAACGCAACATTATAAAAAGGTCCCAACTCTGTACTCCAAACATGTGTCCAACACCTTATGTGAGTCTCCATCATTTCAAATAAATTTCATCATTATTCATTTTAAACATTTAGTAGACACACCTTAGACACTTCCAACAACAAATGACGAGTAGTACAAATACATCTTAAAGCTAATCATGACAAGAAATCTTGGGAACACGATAAATACACAGGAAGTGTCTAAACTTTCTTTTAAAATATATTTTGACATTGTACACAGGCCAACACAAGATACACATCCAACAGACACAGTTAAATACACAAAGAATACAAATATAATTGCAAAGCAACAGTGCACATATAAAATGATATATCTTATCATACCTCCAGTTTCTTCTTCTTTCACACTATGCAATTGTTATTATAAAATTAGGGAGGGAGGGAAGGAGAGAGAGAGAGAGAGAGAGAGGGAGAGAGAGAGAGAGAGAGAGAAATCATATTATCTTATATAACAAATAATACAAAACAATTACATTGTATATTTCCGTGTCCATTCCATGTATTTTTTCCAGGAAATTGTCCATACCATGTGCTTATCCTACTTGTTTAAGATTTAGCATATTATCATATCGTGTTTGTATGGTGTTCATATCCCATCAAGGTAAAAAGTGGAAGACTTTTTTCTTTTCTTTTTTTTGGTGGGGGAAGAAAAACCTTATGGGGAAAAAGTGCAATTATTGTAAAATGTAACAAAACTGAAGTAAAAGAGGGGCCTGACCCCAGTGGCCCCATGAGCCTCCGTCCACAGCACAAGTATGCTGCCTAAGAGGTTCTAAGAGTGATCCTACATTTTTCTTCTTTCCATTATTTTTTTACACTAGATACATGATAAACCTGTGTCAACCAATATTTTAGCCCTAGAACATCCTATTCTAACATGATATGAAAAAAATGATGTCACGTTAGGCCTGCAACCCAATTGATTCCAATCCAATGTGGAAACCATCACATTAGGCTTGTAAAAGGGTCAATTGCAACTGGAAAAAGAGTGATCCAGAACTGATGAGATAAGAAAGTCTGATCTGATCCAAGAATCCAACCATTCATCACGGCACTAATCTGAATCCAAATCAGTTGATAATTGAACATCTGATCTGGAAATTGGAATCTGAAAAGAAATAAGATAAAAATATTTTCAAGAAATTAAATACAACCGTTAATGATATAACGGTCTTATTAGATTATTATATTATCACTGATTTATATATAAATAATTTTCCAATCAGCTCAGATCAGATCAAACAAAATTAGAGATTGATCATTAATTAGCAGGTCAGCTGGATTTGGACGGTTAGTGTTAAGGGATCATATTCCTCCTACTGATCCACATTATTGGGTCAAGCTTGGATCTTGACAAACCTATAACACATAGAAATGTAATAAACTTGTATTACAAGGTTCATGTTGAGATATGTCTCAAATTCGTAATTTGATATTTTTATTTTTATTTTTATTTTTTTTGAAAGTTCAAGCAAATACACACATCCACTATATATTTTGCCCCCACCGGGGCTCGAACATTCAATCTTCCCTTTGGAGGAGAGCTTATACCATCTAGGCTAATATATTTCTTTTAGGCTTCTAGTTTAGAATTATATTTCTTTTAAGAATGTTTTTGTTAGAAAACTCTTGGAATTGTAAATTACAATGCAATAAGTAACTTGGGACAAGACTCTAAAAGTAGATGCTTATCCCAGGTATATGAGAGGCTCCGTGAAATAGACGTGAAGATACGGACTACCTGCGATACCCCGATACTACATGTGATACGGTGATACCCGAGCTCGTATTGGGCTGGGCTCTCTCTCGAAACCTGTCTTGATTCTATTTGAAGCCATTTCTTTTGGCCCTAGCCTATAGCAGAAAGTGAAGGAGGATGCAGGTTGAGATTTATGAGAATTCAAATTGGAAGAGATAGTTAGGTACCTGAGAGTTACAATCCCATTACTTCACAAGATTCAAGAACAGGGATAACCATCCAATTGATTCATAATCATAACTCAAGTATCCTTGAGTTGTTATGTGCAGTCTATCATTTTGACCGCTATATACACTAGCACAAATTCAGGTAGTAGATCGTTGTGTATTCTCTATCTTTATTACTCACTATAAAATATAAATTGGATTATCTCTTTTATCAAAAACCGTAGGCAAGCCTGCCAAATATTTTTTTAATTGTTAATTGTGAGTAATTGGCTTCCGCGTGCACAATATGCGGTATGCATAGATCAACAAATCAAATAGGGAAAAACTTCAAATAAGACCTTGGTTGAGTGTATTTGAAGATCAGTCAGTCTTGCACAGCATCAGGTAAGGATGGGCAAAGCTTACGGCTTCGAGATTCTAAGTACAAAAAAGGAGGGGGAAAATTGTTTGGCCGTTGTTCAAAAGAAGGACAAACACAAAGGGTAATTGAGAAAATTCTTTGTTGAGAAGTAAAAAACTAAATAAGAGATCACTTACAAGCTATATCAATTGTATCTCTAGGCTCTAACAAATGTTCATAGCCACACAATTTATCCCATCAACACCGAACAATAAACACAAACTAGAGCAACAGAAATAAAATATCCAGATACTACATGGTTTATGGAAAGGGTTTTTGAATAAAAACCAAACAAAATTGAAGATCAAATTTCATTATAAAGCAGAATAGCAAAGTAAACAATGTGACAATAATAAACAATTTCAAATTAAAGGCAAAAGACTGAGAAACTTATTTGATCATAACATTACCATTCCTTTGCTTTCGTAATAACCATCCAATGCCCACTGATACTTCGATTGATTCAACCCAAACCAATGCGCCACATGCTCATCCAAACTCGAATGCGCTACAAAAAAAAAAAAAAATTAATGTAAGATTTAAGATTTTGAAAAATAAAGCATCCATTTTAAAGGTTAAATTTTTATGATGTTTTCAGGCTATTCATTCTGCTTCCTCAGCAATCGACACCAGTTCTACGAATACTGATCTAAACCCTAATGTGCTGAAATTGACTTTCTAAAAAAAGGACCTTGACGCCGTTTGGTTGCCAAGAAAATTGTGTGGAGAAAATTGTTTTAAATTGTTCAAGATTTAGGTGGGAATCAGAGGCTCACTCTCCGAGTTTTTCATTAAATAAAAACAAGACAAAGGGAAAACGAAAAAGACTGGAGATTTTCTTTCCTCTGCGTTGATTTTCTCAAGAACCAAACTAAAAATAAGAAGATTCCTTCAGCCACCACACGCATTGTAAAGAGAGATCAATGGAAGACTGTACCATTTTGGACTTTAGCTACAGCGTTCCAGAAGAACCCGAACTTCGAGGCGTCGGATGGAGACCGTACAGCAGTGGGCTTATAAAACTGCTGCGGCGGAGGCTGCACCGGCGGCGTCCGAGGCTGAACCGGCGGCGACGGCGGCGGATCAGCGGCCTTTTTGGGCGACACGTGGACAGGTTCGGAGGGTTTAGGAGTCGCCGGAGGAGTGACAAAGACAGTGTAGGGTCCGATCTTTCCGATCAGTGGTGGGGGTGTAGATTCTGTGTTAATCGGCATTTTGATATATATATATATATATATATATATATATATGTAGAGAGAGAAAGAGATGTGAACGATGCCTGTAGAACCAACAAATGTAGTCGTAGTGTGAGAGATATCAAGAAGTGCTGAGGAGTGAGAGATGAGAAGTGAAAGCAAGTTGGAGACTTGGAGAGAGATGCTGTGTGAAACTGGAACAGTTAACTTTGGGTAACGGGAGGGCCGAGGGCGATGTTAGTGTGTGGGTGTGTGTGTTTGTGTGAGAGAGAGAGAGAGAGAGAGAGAGTAGAACACGCGTTTTAATGTGGGTGGATCTTTGTCTTTCTTATACCGTGTTGACTGTGTTTTACTGTTGGTAGTATAATTGTAGAAAGAGAATGTAATTTTGGCACTTGTTTTTCAAATAAACAACAGAATTGCCATTCTTGGAGATTTTTATTTTTTATTTTTATTACTTTTTGGCGACTTTGTTTCTCCTTTTTCCTTTTTCTCTGGTTCTTTTTATGTACGCATATATCCTCCCACTTAAAGTCCACATTTATCTCAACTTTGTTCTTTTTGGAAAATGAACTAAGTTGAGGGGTGTTGAAAGTTGATGTTACATTGAAACATAAATAAACATTTTAAAACTTATTGTTTGTAAAAATCATGTTAAGCTTTGATTATTTTAGCAATTTTTTACTAATTTTACAATAACTTGTTCTAATCTCTTTAAAAGTAAGGCAAGAATAATAAAAATGATGTCTTTTAATAAATTGTTCTTTTATATAAAAAATAGTTACCCAAAATATTGAATTTCTACTCAAAAACGTAGTTTTAAAAGTGAGAAATTTTAACTTCGTTTAAAGCTCTAGTAAGCTAAAATTTCTATCATTTAATTTTTTTTTTTTTTTTTTTACCAAGCACATTTAAATATAATATATTATTTTATTTTTTAAAAAATGGTTCAACTTTTGACAATTTAGTTAAGAGTTTTGATTCAAATTACGAGGTGAAAAAGTTACACTATTGATATATGTGTAATATGTGATTTTACAATTAATCAAACTGACCATTTTAATAAATAGACTCGTAATAATACAGATCATAATTAAACTCTTTCTTTACTCAAGATTATTGAAGTAGATTCGAATTATTTAGAACAATTCATTTCATTTGCAAATCTATCCATCACTTGACCTAAGCGGTGTGACTATATATAGACAAAGAATGAATTATGGAATAAGGGCATCAAGAGTTATTCATGATCCAATTCAAAGCAAGGTGTGACTATATATAGACAAAGAATGAATTATGGAATAAGGGCATCAAGAGTTATTCATGATCCAATTCAAAGCAAGGTGTGACTATATATAGACAAAGAATGAATTATGGAATAAGGGCATCAAGAGTTATTCATGATCCAATTCAAAGCAAGGTAGTTCCATTGATTCAAGAAAAGTTTCAAAAGAATCGAAAAAGTTTTTATTTGGAGTAATTTATATTAAATGAAACCATTAGTTATGAAAGAAAAGAAAAGAAATGATAATATTAATTACGAGAAAAAAATAAAAATAATAATAACAATAATCTCTATTTATATTTGGATAGATAGAAGGGGAAAAAAAAAAATTTATTGTATTCTTATTTTGATATGATAGAGTGAGAGAAAAGAAAAAATATGATAACAATCAAATTACTATCATGCCTTTCTAAATAAATGAAATATGAGTGGAATAATAATTTCTTCATTTTAATTATTGAGAGTAGTTTCAAAATTATAAAAATATTAGTTCAATGCTATCTTTTCCCTCCTTTTGTTTTGTTTTTTTTATTTTTTATTTTGTGCTAATTTATCATATCCAAACCTACCATAAATTACCATTAGTGCCACCAGTTGAGTGTTTTTCATTTCCATAACCAATAGTACTAGTTTAGTATTTCCTTTAGATGGAGTGATAAAAGTAATTTGTACTCTTTCATATGGGTTGTAAAGTCAATATCACAACTCAATACCTTTGCACCGTGTGATCCCACTTCACATACAAAGCTTATTCTTTGAGTGAGAGTAAGTTGGACTCCATTTTCTCAAATGTAAAATACTCCAATTAATAAGTGCGTGGACAGCACGTCAAGCAAGTTTCTTAAGCTTAATTATGAAACCAAGTCCTGAAAAGATCGTTCGATAAGTAGCTTAAAATTATTATTAATATTACGGCTCTATTTACTCATTTCAATAAGTATTTAATTTAATAAGGTTTGTTTTTATTTATACCTATATTTTCATATACAATTTTTTTTCTTATTTTTTTCTATAGACTATTAAAATATATTTTTTATACTAATCTCAATAAGAGCATTTTTAGCAACATGTTAAAATATATATATTTTTTTGTATAAAATAAGTGTTTAAATTTTTTTATCTTTAGTAATCTGTTAAGGTACATTATCACGTCACTAACGTCTAAAATTGTTGTATATTTTACACAATCACAAAAACATATTTTATTTCTCTTCTTTCTTTCTCATTCCATTAACGAATCAACCATATATTAAATAAGTTTGTAAAAGTTATGTGGGTCCTGACATGACACGTATTTGGTTGTTATTGGGAGATATATTTTTATACAAAAAATATAAAACAGAGTTAAAAATAAAATAATTCAAAATCTTTGTATAAATCTATCATGACACTCAGATTTATAATATATATATATCTATACCTAACGGTTGCAGATGCTCCCCAGCGATATATTAAAACACCATTTTGTGTAAAATATACATTGACACGTATAATGTATATATATTTATTTATTTTCAGCTGTCTATTAAGATACAAAAATGTGTAAAATTATTGTATATTTTACACCAGCTTTTTACACAGTTACATTAGCATATTTCCTTTCTCCTTCTTTTCCATTCCATTAACGAATCAACTATATATTAAATAGATTTGTACAAGTTATGTGGGGACAAGTTTGTACAAGTTATGTAAGAACACATGTTAGTTGTGATTGACAGATATATTTTTACACAAAAATTATAAAATAATGTTATTGGAGTTAAAGATAAGTAATCTAAATTTTTTTAACATATCTTATTTATAAATATATATATATACACACACACACACATACATTTTGTTTTGAGTTGAAAAAGCCAAAAATAGCTCTTAAAAAGCTAATTCAAATAAACAGTAGTACTCAACCAGTTGTCTAATTAATCAAAGGTCAAACTCCCGAAACAAATGTGTCCTTATCCGAATCCCCTCAGAATCTCAAGCCGAGCCCCTTGACAGGCCAGCCCAACCTGTCCCTCAAGGGGTGTGTAGGGTTTGGACATAGGGCCCACTGCGTAGCCCGGCCCGCCAAACTGCCCCCACCCCTGGAAAGCATTTCTTCTCTTTTTCCAATTGGGCGGAAGAAGCAACTCTACGCAACTCTTTTTCGGCCTTTATGTGTAAGCATGGCCCACACACCCCAACATTTATTATTATTATTTTTAACACGCCTACACCGCACCTTAAACTTTTTGATGGATATTGGGCGGGGCTTAGAAGGGTTACCAAAAACTTTTTGATGACAAGCATCTACTCTGTTACACTAATAAGGTACAAAATATCATTTAGTAAATAATTATACTTTAATCTTCATATTATTATATTACTAATCTAATTATACTTCCTCGATCTTCTAAATATCTTCGCTTCTTGCTAGGGAAAATAAATAAGTAATTAATAGCACAAGTTAGGAATGTAGATAAAATGTATTAGAAGCAGGAATCTAGATAAAATGTATCATCTAAATAGATTTTGAACCAATCAACATGGCAAATGTATCCAATGTTGAACAACAATAAATCACAAAATGCATATATTCTAAATGCACACATAGGACATCCCATTGAGAATGATATTACAATAAGTGGCATACTTCAATTAGGTTTATACCATTTTTGGGAATTTAAGCAATGATTCCATACAACATATTATTATACTATTTGTTCAAAATGCTATAAAACACCAAAATCAATTTGGCTCTGATAACATCATCCGAAAACTAAAATAAAAATCAACCCGTAACACGTGTATACATTTGGGCAGTAACTCTTACAAATGAACCAGCACAGAAAAAAGAAGTCTGACGAGGAGTGAACCCGCTGGTCTTCTCTACCCTTTATCGGTTGTAGGTTAAATACGCAACGAAGCAGCAGCCTTTTTCTATCAATTAACAACAATTTCAAGTGGTCCCACCAACGTTCGCATGTCAGAGAGACTGGATCCAGGCCAAAGAAGCAGGGGTGTGACACAGACAGTCTGAGCTTTGCTTTGCTTCCAGAGGGGAGAGAACCCAAATGAGATGTTTAAGATAACATATGAAACATTGTTTCAGCTAATATAAAAGACGCAAGGAGCATATGTCACTTGCTATATACACACACTTTTCTTTTTTTACCTAGGGGTTCAAATTACATACATAGCTTGAACCACAACACATGTGCATACTAGCGTAGAAACTAAACCTACATATACGATACCTACCAATATCAGTCGAAGTACAGAACACAGTTTCATAAAAACCTCACAACATTAGACCTGCATTCAAGTCACCCAGAGAATTATTCCATTACGAGCCAGAAATACCTCATACAAGAAAATGCACAAAAGCGCAAATGCTGATAGAAGATTGCTGACCCACGGCCAAATTGATCAACCATTTTTAGCAAATCCAACATCATCTCCACAAAATGATTATTTGAGACGATCTTATCCCACGAGGTTGAGGACTCCTTTTGATTCCTATGCTACAGACTACATACAGCTTCCCATTCCATTTCTTCCAAATTAGATGACAGAACTCGCCAAAGATAGTTCATGAAGGTCACTCAACATCCACTCATCTCCAGTTTGACCGCCGAGGACTATAGCCCTCGTCCCTCCAACAACACATGTACTGTGACCCCAAGCAAATCTTGGAGGCCTCCCAGGTACATTTAATATCCTCCACGTAGGCTTCTCATCAGTTGGATCCAGGATATAAAGCTGTGACGCTGAGTGAAGGCCTGCTACAGACCCACCAAAGACGAGGATTCTGCCACCTGGGAGGCTCACAGCCACGTGATCAAGCCTTGGAGGAGGAGCTATGCCACCCGGATTTCCAGCACCAGGCATTCCACTCCCAGTTACACACCTCCAACAGGGTTCCTCCTCACTCAGATCCATTGTGAACACGTCACTAGAGCGGAATCGGAGAGGTCCGCTCTTGGCAAGACCCCCAAACATCAAAATTTTCCTACCACCATATACAGAGAGAGTATGACCCAAACGAGAAGGTGGGGTCCATGTTACAGGTATCTCTCTCCAAACAGGTTTCTCCATTGAGAGATCAAGCAGGAAAGTGTCACTAAGAAGCACCCCAGAATCAGCACAGCCACCAGAAACAATCAACTTTGTACCATCAAGAGTGCAGGAGCTATGCCATGATCGTGGAAGTGGAGGGGCTAAACTAGAAATTTCACGCCAAGTTGGATGCTTTGCATCCAAGTCCAACACAAAGACGTCATTGAGTAAGCCTTGCCTTCCACAGCCTCCAAACAGGACCAAGTTAGATCCATTTACACAAGAAAGTGTGTGACCCCAACGACCAGGAGGTGGGGAGCTCACCTTGACATGTTGCCACTCTGGATTGCTGGAGTTCAAGTCCAAAACAAATGTATCATTCATTGGTTGCATGTTGACCCCCTCCCCACCAAAAAGCACCACCCGATTCCCAACTGCACATGCACTGAAGTTGCAACGAGAGGGTTCAACAGCACCCCCAACAGTTAGCTTTCTCCATGCTGCTGCTTCAAGAGTGGTCAATTCCCTTGCCAGCCGACCCCACCCAAGCCTCTTTGCCCCAGGCACGGTCTCTAAAACCCTGGTAGTTTCACAACCCCATGCATTTTGGCAGACCATTCTCCAAAGATCCTCGTTCTTCGTTAGTTCATAGAGCCTCCTAGAGACAGAGCCAACAGATGCAATATCTCTTGGCGTCAACCGTGAAAGAATCTTGAGAGACAGGACCTCATCGCTCAATTGCAGTATCCCACAAATGCCACGACTGATATTTCGGTCCCCATCTAGAACTGGTCGGTAAGAGGAGAGACTGGAACGAAACCTATCAGATGATTTTGCAGACTCCTTTGTAAAAGCTCCTGGAAGAGGACCCAGATCAAGATTTACTTCTGTGAAGAACTGGATTCCAATAACATGAGTTATTGTTTCGTCGTCTCCATATATAGGGGTCAGCCTCAACCTATTCATCAACGGGGATCCATCTTTCCTAAAGTTCAACAAATCGCCTTGGAATTCAACCCCCTCCTCAAGACATCTTCGTATTTCTGAAATTACTGTGGAATCTACCAGTTGATGCCTTCTTTTTGCAAATGGGCCTCTACATTGCAGGAAACGACTGAAATAAAAGCCCACAAAATCAGAACAAAATATTACTTACAACAAATACTATGTAACTACAAAGTGAATGCAACATAGCAAAATCATAAAATTTATCATAGCCGCATAAAAGTACAAGCAGTAATTCAAACTTTGTTCCTAAAGTGAAGTAAAATAGAAAGTGTAATACTTTTAAGACAAAAAACCGACTAATAATATCATTGCCAAAGGGCATAAAGCAACACATAATATTGCCAATGGAATAAAGCCACACAAAAACCACACACAAGGAAGGAGATCCCCATCCCATGTTTTTATCAACGCCAAGACAAATCCATGGGAGTCGTGTCTACCACTTGGCTATGGTCAACATTTATCACTAAAACAGACATGTTAAACTGAGCAAGCTTAGTCATAATAATGTTCTAATAAAGAAAAGTTCCACCTCCCTCAGCCAGTTGCTCACTCTACTCCCTCGCGCCCAGTGTTGTTAAAGGCGCGCCTAGGCTCGAGGCGCAGGTCTAGCGGCTGTTGTCATCCCAGGCACACTAATGTTTACTAGGCGCGCGCCTTGGTTGCACCTCGTTTTGTTTGTCAGGCGCGCTGATTTTTTTTTCCAAAAAAATGATTAATCTAATTCTTAAGCCAAAGAGGGTACTTTTGGCAACTTAATAAACAGATAAGAAAGCCAAAGCGTGCAAGAGAAGGAACTTTTGTTCAAAAGAATAAACAAACAAGAAAGTCGAAGAGTGAAAGTGTCAACCGAACAGAGAAAGGGTGAGTCTGTGAGACGAACGACGAAGCCACATCAGCTCTTTCTTCTTCTCCTCTACTTCTCTCTCCTCTCTTCTCCTCTACTCATCTTTTCAAATCTTTGTTTACATCTCTCTCTTCGTCTAATTCTCTTCTGTGTCTTTTTTTGGATTTGTTCTTTTCTTTTGTTTTCTTGTTAAGAGGATTTTTTTTTTTTTGGTTAACAAATTTGTTTCTTTTTGTGCTCTGTTTTGCTTTTCGAAAAAACAAATTTTGTTTTGCCTTTCAAGAAAACAAATTTGTGCTCTGTTTTAAGGTTGTTGAATGCTTGTATAGTTGATGGATTTACTTTTTTATATTTGACATTAGTTTTTAGAATATTGATATATTGATATGACTTATGAGATATGAATGTTTTTATGGTAGTTTAAATATTCAATTGTGCGCCTCACATCACTCAAGCGCGCACCTCGCCGTGTACCTAGGCTCCAAAGGACCTCTAGCGCCTTGAGCCTTTAATAACACCGCTCGCGCCAAGTTGGGGAAAGTAGTAGACTGATCTCAAGTATCCAATCACTTGGGCAATATAATGTTATGTCTGGCTTTCATAATCCTACCTGTAATACAGAGTCTTAATTTATTCGTAAGTGATGTTTCTTTAATTTTAAAAAAGTTTTAACAATAAACCGAAAAAGAAAATTAAAACAGGGAAAATGAAAAATATGCATGACTACAGGTTAAATATTTCCAAGATGATCACATCAATATGGATTTAATGCCTCTAAAAAATTTGATTTTCTAGTTCATACTTTAAAGCCTTTAAAATTTGAATATCAATATTTCCCAGCATCTATCAAATTAGGTTCTCGTTCATGAAGTTTGTCTACCATTACTGATTGCGCATGGAAGAAGCTTAAGCAAACTGTTCTGATTTTTTTTCCAACAAAAAAACCATGATGAAAATACCAAATGCATAAGAATAACTCCTAAATAATGATGAAAATACAAAATGCATAAGAATAACTCCTAAATAATGATGCAAATACAAAATGCATAAGAATAAAAAATAACACGGTAATTGAAAATACTCCCATCTTCTTTGCATGCAGTCGCCGAACTGGTTATTACATCTAGATTCCAAAAATTTGTCAGCAAAAAGAACAAGCAGCAGCAGTCCGGCTCCAAAGAGTCAGTCAATTGACAGTTCCATGCGTCTTTGATTGTGCAGGTGCGCGCGCACGTGCACGTGTAAAAAAAGCACATTTATTTAAATAATTTTTTTTTTTATAAGTAAAAATAACATTAAAAAAAGGCGTTCAAGAAGGGAACGCGTCCCAATTACCACATTTATTTAAATAATACAATCATGTTTTTATCAAATAAATATTAATAAATGAAATCCCACCACAAAAATATTATTCTCTCTATCACAAGTCATTTTTCCTATTAAATTTAAATTTTTTTAAATCATTTCCTCTTTTTTCATTCCATGTTAGTCTTGGTCGACCTCTTTGCTTGTTACCCCCTACAGAAACCAATCTTCCCTTTCTCATCGTTGCATCTTGAGGTCTACATCGAATATGTCCATAGCATCTAAAGTCTATTTTCCCTTATTTCTCATTAATTGGCACCATTCTAATTTCTCTCTTAACCAAATAATATATATACTTCATATCCAACTGCAGAAACCTCTAAGGCCCCTATGCATATGATAGATTTGCCTCATGTTTTATCAAACTAACTAAGAAAGATCAGTATTATTGTTGAGATAAAAAATTATTGGATACAAATATTTTATTAATGTACCACTGAAAAGAGTTATAATTATTATTACTCTTCACCACTTTAAGTGCCCAAGGAACTTAAGTTTTGCATTTAAGTTCCACCAAAGAATGCCCTAGACGGATGGGGCGATAACAAGCAATAAATCCTTCCACAACTCCTCCAAAATAATGCCCCAAAAATCAAAAGGCTTAAAAACATCAAACATTGCATAAAAATACGGAAGTTCATGTAATGAATCAGGTCTCATGCTTTCATATGGCAATTTCTGCTGATTTATATATCAAAAGTACAGAGGAATTGCTAGTTTTTATGCTTGTTCTGGTGCCCAGGACATGCTATCAACATACTCTCAACTAGCTAAGAAATTGTGTCAACAACAATAAACCTCTATCATGCCTCCAAGAACTCCCGACTTCTTCATTCATTATACTGTTAAGCCTGATGTCAGTTCAACAGTTACACCTTCCTAAAAATGGTACTAGGTCATGACAGAGGCAATTACAAGCTCAGGTATTAACCGATATCCAGGCTTCTGCATCCATGCAAACAGATCCCGGATACTTCAAAATTTTCTTTATAGCTCATATTCTTAGCCTCCATTCTGTATTCTTGTCCTGCTCAAGTCTGTTTTTCAGCTAGTGAGCTGACTGACAGATTGCCAGACTCTCACCACTCCGCCTAACCATACAGGGTTCTTATATTCTTACCCTTCATTCTGGATTTGGTTGGCTCTATTATATAATCTAGAATCATTATCTAACTGATATGGTTAATTTTTAAAATCCACTTTGCCTTCTTAAAAAAAATTAGAATCTCAAACACCAATGTCATGGCCGCAATCCTTCTCATGATATGATCCTTATTATGGATTGGGAGAGGGAAGGTGGGAGACTCTTTAAAAATGTCACCAGATATCAAAAGGGACAAAGCCTTTATATAGAGTTTTAGGGTCCCAAGCGAGTTCAAAAATGCATTTTAGAAACTTTTTTGTACTCCAAAACTCACAAAAGGACGTCAAAGGATTCTCCTCTTCAATCTTTAATAATCGGGATTGATCCTCCATCAAGTGATCGATAATTCCAGCCAATCAAGGCTAGTATTAAAAGCCAAAATTTCAAGGCTTAGTTGAGAGACCAAACAAACTCAAAATAGGCAAATAACATATTGTTCGAAAGTTTATTGGATCTAATTTCTGGAAAGGTTCCAAGTATAAAAAAAATTACGACAAAAAACAAGCAGATGGGTCAAATTTTGAGCATCTCCAGTGTAGGTATAAATTCTAAGTCCATCTAAACTTGTTTTAAGGAATTCTAATCCAAATACATCACCTTTTGGCAATTAAAGTCACTTAAGAATATCAAATCTTATCATGTATCCACTTAAGTTCAATTTAACTTTCCTAATAAGAATTTCAAACTGATCAAGATTGTCAAAGTTAGTCCCCATGCAATGCTATCTTCACCAAAATCTGTTGGGTTGCTCTTTAAGACATTAACAAGCAAATCATTTAGACAGACAGACCAATGGCATACCCAAATCCATAAAAGTGACCAAGCATTACAACCATGATTTGTCTACACTCCACAAAAATTGCCAGGACTTCACAACTAGTACAAATATAAATAACACATTTTCGCAATTATCTTCAAACAGGAACACCAGTTCAAAGTGGTCAAGGATTTGCTCCACAGACACACGTATTGTGCAATAAATCTCAGTAGCAGACATTGGTTTAAATTCTAGACCTCCACCAAGGAATATCCTAAGAGCTTTTTGGCCGAGCCATCAGATAAAGTTATTCTGTCTGTTTCCAAAAAGACTTGTTAAAAAAGCTTATTGGCCATTATTTTATTACAGGTAACCTCGTAGTTATACAGATATTTTTAACAAAAGCATACCATCAAGGTGTCAATGCCTTGCAGAAGATGTTCCGTATAAGGAAATAATGACTGACTTAGGCAAATGATTCAAAGAATTTTTAGTATTCAACACAATGTCACTTGGACATTCCAAAATGAGCAAATACTCATGTAGGAACAAAACTCAATACCAACACATTCATAGCTCAACTGAAATTCCTCGCTCCAAGTCATGTCTGACATCACCTTGAATAGTTGAAAAGTCCAAGAGCACCCTAAAAAACAAAGCTTTGTGGCCCTTTGTACTTTCTTGGGTTTCGCTCCCCTTTCGAGCGCTTTTCTATACAATTTTACTTATCAAAAAAAAAAAAAAAAAAAAAAACGAACTCTTCCTCACAGACTAGGGAAATAAAATATTTTGAGGGGTTCTCTCCCACGAATAAACCGCGAAAATACTCCAAGGACTTTTCCACATAGATAAACCTCGGGGTATGACAAACGTTTTGAGGAGTTCATCCCCACAGATAAGGGTGGTGACAATTATCTCAAGGATCACTCGACCTCTATATAGTAAAGATCACAAGTCTATTAGGTTGGTCAAGGAGGCATTCTCAAAGAACTCTTCCCATGGACTTGAGGGAAATAAAATATTCCAAGGGGTTCCCTAGGATGAATAAACCGCAAAAATACTCTATAAGGAATTTTCCACATAGATAAACCTCAGAGTATGACAAAAGCTTTGAGGAGTTCATCCCCACAGATAAAGCTGGTGGCAATTATCTCAAGGAACTCTCAAGCTTTATATAGTAAAGAGCATAAAGTCTATTGACAGTTTGTCGAGGAGTGCTTCTCAAAGTACTCTTCCCCATAGACTCGAGGGAAACAAAATATTTCAAGGGGTTCTCTCCCACGAATAAACCGCAAAATGCTCTCTTTAAGGAATTTCCCACATAGATTAACCTCAAAGTACGAAAAACAGTTTGATGAGTTCATCGCACAGATTAAGCCGGTGACAATTATCTCAAGAAACTCTCAGCCTCTATATAGTAAAGAGCACAAAGTCTATTAAATCGGGAACGAAGTCTATTAAGATGGGAGGACTTATTTGTGGTTCTGAATCCTATGGTAACTTGGTAAGATTTCGGATTGGAAAATGAAAATCAAGGCTCATTAAAGTGTTCGCTTAGGTAGAAGCTTTAATTAGATTCGAGGCAAGGCAAAAAGATAAAAATATGTGTGCAATGGCAAGAACTAAAAAACCTAGGAGAATAACTTTCCATGTTCACCTCTCAACAACCACGTTAATAAGCCAAATACAGGCTTTTAATAGCCAAGCGGGCAAATTAATTAGCCAACTACCTTGGGAGGGGAGATTGGACTCCCACAAAACTAGGTCTCTTGAATCACAAGAAAGAGCCCCTAGCAGACTATGACTAGCAGGCAAAAGACCCTTCTGTAACACTATATGTAGGGGTGGTAACATTCAAGATTGAACAAAAACCATTCTAGACTTCATTGACATGTATGAGAAAAGGCCCCTTGCCAAGCCCAAGTGATTCACCAATTACCAACCTTATCCCCTGAAATTTATTTTTTCTCCATTTATCCAACACCAACTAGGCCTCATTGTCTTAGGTGTGATCTCCTCTCATACATCACACGTATAGATAAATTAACCAAATCAAAAATGTTTCTACGGATTAGATGAACTTGACATCTCACTAGCACCCAGCGCATGTCCACGAGTGCTTATAGAACAGGTTTAAGTACGATGAATTAAAGCTTAACTACTTAAGCACATTTTTTGGAGTCACAACCCGATATATCCTTTAACGAAAGCCTGACACTCCTTTTGAGCAGATATCTTAATAATCAAGGTAGTGCACCACTACTGAAGAAAAGGTACAATTGTGAAACAATAACTGCGATTGGTCAATGTGGGTTTACCTCAAAAGAATACTTACCCCAAAATATCTTAAGACATTCAACCATCAAGTTCACTGAAGGTAAAAAATTCAAACTTTTTGAATGACTAAAGATGATATAAGTTTGCGTTGAAAAATTTACAATATGTAATAAGAATAATGGACTTCTTGATGGAAAAGCTCCAATTCCTTACATGCTTCATATGCTAATAAAAATTTGAAACTTCAATTACTTTGTCAAATCATTCACTTCCTTCTAAAAGTATTGATAATCTCAAGTAGGAATGTTATCAAGATGAAAAAGCTCTAACATTAAGTCGGAAGATAATCCCAAAACCCTACGAAATAATTCAAATTTAATCATCCAGACAAATCCAAACTGAATATTGGACACTGTACTATTTCCTTAATTTTGTTCTATTACCCGTTTTCATAGTTTTATAACATGACTCCCTAGTTTAATTCCCCAAAAATTGCTGCAATTTTGAATATTTTCTTTATATTTTATTTATTTTTTTTTAAAATTGGAACTATACTGCTTTTTCTCAACTCATTGGGCATCGTGTCTTCATTTAAAATTGGCCTTTTATAGGGTTTTAGCACACTAGAAGAGAGCTGAGTGTTAAGTTCGTGCGGAGTCCAATTGACCTAAGATGCTGTGACAGCATACTAGCACTTCGAGAAGTCTAGAAGACGCATAATAATCATAGAAAAAGTTTAGTTTTTGAACTACCCCCTGTTGGTTTATAAAGGAAGCAGCATATTATAATAACATCAATTTCCTCACATTTAGGGAATGAAAGGCAAAAAAAATCCCAAATCTGACAATTGCATGGTCTATCACCAAAATTTGATCACAATAGCCCGTTTAAACGATAAACAGAGTCTGAAAACTACAAGAGCACAAATAACTTGAATCCATATAAAGAAACTACATTTCCAGAACAAAAATTCCACACAAACATAAGTAATTAACTAACGAAAATTTTAATCGACAGAACTTACCAGTTACGCCCAAGTACCTCTTCAGCTCGATAACCCGTGACCATCTCGAACACAGAATTTACATATATAATCGGATGGTCCGGCTCTAACGCGTCCGTGACGACGAACCCGCACGGCGCCGGATGAAGCAAACTCTCCACCGGGAACGGCAACGGCCCGCCATCGGTCAAGAGGAACCCTTCCTCGTCACCGCTCAGATCAGAATTGCTGTCCCACTCCATTAATTGCTCCAAACTTCTTCTTCAACCCATGACCTCAAATCCAAATCAACAGTGAGAGAGAGAGTCAATACCTATAGCCACTAAAACCCAAAAACAAAAACAAAAACAAAAAAAAGCCCTAAAAATCGCCCATTAAATCAACACAGACCTCAGGTGTTTAGAGAGAGAGAATACACAAAGAGGTTAGAGAGTTTTTGCTTTCTGGAGGTTGTTTTTGTTGGATTTTGGGATGGGGAAGATGGAGATGATGTGAGAGGGTGGAGTGCGAAAATGAGTGGTTGGCGAAACTTGGTGATTTGGTTTAACACAGACCGTTCCAGAGAGACAAAGAGGAGTGACTCGTTCACATGTTCGATAATATCACACCGTCTTGCGAATGGAAATATCTAGGGCTTGGTTAGGGACGGGTCGGTTGGGTGCTGGCTATGGATAGCGCTTTGGCCCAACGCGAACTTGGCATCTATGCATGTATTATACACACACACACACACACACATTAAATGATTTTTGAAGTGACTTCAGAAACTGAAAGACCAAATCCTATTTGGTTTTAGCCTTCTAATGCTTGGTCTCTGACCCGGTTGTTTGGTTTTTAAATATCAAAAGGCTAAAATTACAGACAAGTTGTTTGGTTGGTTTTAAATAGTACACAGCTATAAACACACTCAAGTTTGGCTATTTTGATTTCAAAGTCTAATAGACCAAAATTACTTATAAAAAAAAAAGAAGACCAAACTTATGTTTTTTTGCCCATGTGATTTATGTTTGTGGGATCCAATTATTTGGTTTGTTTTAAATAGTAAATAGATAAAAACACATTTAGTGTCTATTTGGTTCGATTGAATTTAAACGTACACATCAAATTATTAAAAACACACTCAATTACACTATTAAGTTTTTGGTTGATTTTAAATAACAATGTATACCAACAACGATTGATAAGTTACGTTTAGTTCTTGATTGATATTCGATTTACGAAAAATAATTTTGAATCAAAAATTTTATTTACAATTTAAAAGTTTTGCAACAACTTTTTTAATTGTCAATTTTATTTTTAAAAAAAGTATTTTAAGAAAACTTTATAATTTTCTAAAATAAATTTAAAAATATATATATTTGAAACATATTGAGTTTTGATACACAATTTGTGCTTTCATATAACAATCTAATGTCCAAAAAGGCATTTGGTGACCGGATCCAAAAATAGTTTCTAGAATAAGAAAGCAATAACAACGTTGTTGTTGTTTTTTTTTTAAAAAAAAAAAAATCTATATCTATACTACTTACAAATCTGTGTAGAATTTGTTTTTCCTTATATATGCATATATTATTATTATTATTGTAATTGTATAGATTTTAAATTTTGTAAATACATTTTTAATTATATAGTACTTGAAATTTTTTTATACAAAAAAAAAAATGGATAACTCAGCTTGTCCAGTTCCTAATAAGAATGGTTGAATATGTTGGTTAATACTAATTTTTTACAAGAATGCATGATGTGAAGTGCGTGGAGAAAAAGATTGACTATTAGGCCCAAAACAAAGAGACCAGTAGCTTGATTTTCAATTCTGATCACATGTTGTTGGGCTAGAGTTGTCAAAAAAATTTCACGTTGGACCTCCTGGCCACACCTCATGGGCTTGAGCCTGGTTCGGACACGGGCCTCAATCATACACCAAAGCAGATTGGACCAGTCCATTTGGATGTTTATTCTAATATTTTACAGAAGAAGAAAAAACTACTATTATCTTCACCTCACTTTAAATATTGCCGGATCGTGACTCACGTATTTATAAATCACAATTTTTGAAAGTGACATTTAAACCATCTCACTCTCTCGAAATTCAAATTATTATTGATTTATGTAATAGAATAATTCACCTAGAACAGACCCAAAAATACATCTGTCCAATAGGTCAGTTCGCTTTTAATGGTCGGGCCCTTGAACAAGACTTCCCATGTGCGGTCCAATCAAGCTTGACATTTGAGAAGTATCACAATAAAATCATACCTAACCACCGATTATGTGGTTCACTAAGCCAATTTGTCTTCATCTTGGCAATGGCTTTTCCTAAACTTGCCTTTGTAGTACAAAATCCCTTGAATCATAACAATGAATTTTTCTTTTCCTTTTTTTTTTTTTTTTCTTTAAATACTGAATTGCGTTTAGGTTAATAACCCAACTTTTTTCAGAATTATAAAAAATTTGTAATTTTCCCTCATATAAATTTATATATTTAAAAATATAAACTGTGCTATACGTAAAATGTTATATTGACTCTCTCACAAGTCGAATAAGTTTGTAAGTGAATTGGTATAAATATAATTAAGTTTTATTGGGTCAGTATCTCATATTAGTAGTCACATTTGAAGAATTTAACTTTTTAAATTTATCAAATTATCATTTCAAGTTTCAAATATGCATAATAATAAGGCTTAATTTTTTTTTTTTAATTTCAAGGTTATTTATGAACAAATATTTTTATTTTGCTTTTGACTTTTCAACTTTTGACAAGTATTTTGAGATACCTAAAAAGTAAAGATGACAACTAATGAGTATCATTTTTCTTTCCATACAAATCTCATTTAATTCTTAAATTTCTGAAAAAAAATATATGTATTTTTAATGGGTGAGTTATAGTTTTTTAATATCCTAAATCATGTGACTTGCAAAATTTTTAGGAAAGTTGTAAAATTAATCCACGTGTATATATATGTGCGCGCGCGCGTGTATATATATGCGTGTGCGTGTATGTGTGTGTTATATTTACATGCACGTGCAAATCAACCACAAACAAAACGTACACGGGCATCGGAGGCGGCTCACACTAGCCAAACACTCTCCTGACTCAGCAGTCAGTACTTGTCAAATACAGTAATAAACAAGAGTACAATATTGCTTGAAAACACCGAACACTGTTCTTTGAGTCTTGACCCTCCTGTGAGAGGGGGAGAGTTTGTATCTGCTTATATATATATATATATATATATATATAGTAGTATATATATATATTGCCATATAGGCACCTGAAATCACTTGTTCATGAACTGGTGCGGACTGTTTTCTTGATTGAAGGAACCAAATGGAGTCTCTGCTTTTTGGGTCATTTCCCAAACCCTCTCCACTTTCATTTCCTACTGCTGGGTTGTCATCACTCACAACTGGTACTAGTAATTCTTCATTCCAATAGCGGTGATATCTTTACATTTCTCAACCAATTTGGTTACTGGGTTTTGCTTATGATTCTTTAGGGCTTTGGTTTTGTAAATTTGTATCTCTGGGTATTTTTTTTAATTCATTCTCTCATTTATAAATTGGCTTTTATGTTCAGATTAAGACTAATTTTAAAATATGCAGGTTAATGGCACACGGTTTATTGTTGCATGTTCATTTTGGGCATTTGACTCCTCTGGGATGGTTTTATTACTATTATTTTTTTTCCCTCTCTCTCTTCACAACTTCTAAATTTCTGCAACTGGGTTTTTGTTTTTTTAGCGTATTCGATCTCCTGCTAATTGATACTCTCCTTTTTTTTTAACTTTACTTGTTTCTAATTTATTCATATTAGGTGTTTTTTCTTGGAAACTATAATTTCCATTAGTCCACATGTTTTATTTTTTTATTTTTTATTTTTTTTTTCCTGAATGGTTATGATATGTTTTCACCAGCTGTTTTGCATTGATTGATGGGTGGGAATGTTTGTTGGAGTGACAATTTCAAGACACGTCATTTCCCCAAGTTTTGGTTACTTTTGAGTTTTCTCTGTTTATTCCGATATAACATGTGTGCTTTTTTTTTTTTTTTGATAAGATATTTAACATTGGCTTGATTAATTCAGATGCCAGATATGATGGATTTTAGTTCATGCTTTTCATCTAATTTTTTAAATTTATGTGGTATTTGTCGATGGAGTTGAATTGTTCCCTGAATTTACAATTATGACAGTGGAACTGTAGAATTCTGGGAACCATTGGTTTCTAGTAGTATGCTTTAGAATGATTTCATCACTTCATCTTATTTACTTTTCTTTTGTTATACTTTCCTTCCCCAAGATTTTATTATGTGGTACCTTCACTGACAATATATGACAAAATATAAAATTTCTTGGAAATGACTCTTTTTTCTTGGAAATACTTTGAATAATGGTCCAGCCATGTGGAATACAAGTAAGTATCATTTGATGAAACTTATTGCTCCCAAAATAAAAAGCAAGATAGTATATTACAAAATTCCTCTATTGTGCAAAATAACAAAAAGTTAAAAAATAAAAATAAAGAAGGAAGCAGGGATAGATGCAGAGAATGTAATTAAACATAAAGAATTTCTTTCACAGAGTATGTTTGAATTTAAGGTAACAAAGCCATCATTATAATATATCCTTGCCCCAAAAAAAAAATTAATAATTATCAGTTGTCAAGGGAAAATTTGAGAAATTATAAGATATTTAAGAAAAAATTAGGCTGGATTTGGGAGAATTTTATGACAATCATGTTCACATAAGAGAACGAAGACACCACATGACCACAAGTGTTAGGAATTGTGTCTCAAATTCATGTAGTAACTCGGTTTCTATTTGGGAGTTGTATTTTAATTTTTAGGAAAATTCTTGTTGTTGGCATACTTGGGCTCCAAGATGAAGGAATTGTAATCCTTGACAATAAGGAATTAAGCTTAGAACTATACAAAAAGATATCTAGGCTATAGTGAAACTTTAGAGGTAGAGAATGGGAATGGGAGAGATGTATAGAGTCGAGGAGATAGGTTTGCGAGGAGAATCCTCTACCTCACACGTCCCTATGAGACGTGATTAATGGATGGAGAGGACATCTATGGCGCAGAGGAAGTCTCATGGGAGTGGTACATGTGAAAGGCTTGGGTATCAACCACCATAAACTAGAGCGGAAATTGTGCACGCGATAATCTTTACTGTTGGAATATAGTAAAATCTTTTTTATTTGTAAACATAGACAAGGTTGTGCCGAATCACGTTAAATCTTGTGTGATTGCTTTATTGCTTGTGATTAGATCTCCATGTGTTTATGTTTCTGCTGCCCTAAGAAGTGGTATCAGAGTCGGAAGTTTGTCTTGGGGAGTTCACCTGTTATTTGAAGGAGATTCAGAAAGCACAAAAAGTCTCAACAGGTGGTGAAATAATTTCAGATGTAGGTCAATCACCTTGCTTGGTCACAATTGTCAGAAAATCGTGATAGGATACTGACATGGAGCTCAGCCTGTTAAGGTGGAGGTTTGAGTGACCAAGCAGCATACAATAGGGATAATAAGAGTTGCGTAGAGGATCACGACGCTAAGCTTGCAATCCAAAGAGCTTGGAAGGACCGAATCCTTAGGTGAAAGGCTCTAAATTAGAGTGGGTCTTACGAAAAGACCGTAGATTGAAGTCTCTGAACGGTGATCCAGTTTGTGTGCAATAATTGCAAGATTAAACTTGCAATAAATTGTCTGAATCAATGGCCATGGGAAGCGAAGTTTGACTTGATGAACTTTGAGCCAAGGTGAAGATTGTTCGATTTGAGACATCAAATTCCTATTATAATGAGAGGTTTCTAATTTTCTATTTAAGAGTTTATTTTATTTAGGAATATTCTTGTTGGAAGTATACTTTGGGTCTAAGGAATTGTAATACTTGTCCAACGAGAAGTTAGTTTTAAAACTCTTTATATAGATACCTAGTTTATGTGGTGGTTATGTCTTGAGACTTATAAGAGTGAGAAAGATGTAACCTCATGATGAAGTAGTTAGGTATGCGAAGGTCTCGGCTTCACTACCTCACATGTCCTGCTAGGTTAGGTCACATTAGGGAGCTGGAGGCTTCGAATTTTTGTTATGTATGACCTGATTGCGGGAGGAGAAACTATTCTTTCAGAAGATATAGTCTCAAGGAGTGGGACATGTGACATTTTTGTTCATCTTTTTGTTTCAGTACATTTTTTGCTGCTACAAGGTGCGGTGCTAGTTGGCGCTGTATGCTTGCTACTTGAAAAGGATTGGACTGTATAAGAGAGTAACTCAAGATCCAAGTGACATAATATAAGCCTTTTCTGTTTCTATTCTGTATTTTTTTCTTTGCTTTATTAACTTTTTTCTCCTGCTCCTTTTTTCTTTATTCCTTTTCTTTTCTTTTTTGGGTGATGAAGTGTGGGAAGCTTTCTGGAAATTGCTGCAAATAATTGAATGTCTTCTTTTAATGTATTTTTTTCTTCTTTTTATTTTTCATTTTTTATTTTTTGTTTTAAATTGTCAAGCAATAAAGAATCTCTTGGTTGGACAATTAAGTAATGCATTTCTAAAAGCATGGACAGACTTGAAACTGTGTGCCATTATTATCAGTAGATTTTTCATATGCTCCAATTGGACTGAACTTAGGTTGTTGCTGCAATGCATTATTGTTTTTCTTGAAAATTATAATCTGTAAATTCTACTTAAATCTTTGATGGCCACAATTCTTATCATTCCTATTCTTTGTAATTGATAGGTTCTCATGTAGCAGTACATGTTTCAAGGTGCAGAGCTGTGAATATCCTAGGAAAATACAATGTGCTGAGGTTCCATCGGCAGGTTGTGATGCATTATGTTGAAAGGACTGATGAACAATCTGCATTTTACCAGAGACGTAATACAAGGTATCTGGTGAAAGCAGCCTCTGGACACCCTCTAGAATCTGAGCCTGAAGCTTATCATTCCAGAAAACCTTGGAAATCGTTGCAGGATGCATTAGATGCTTTCTACAGGTTTTCGCGACCTCACACGGTCATAGGAACAGTTAGGTTCAAATTCAATATTATTTATCAGTGGATCTTAATGACTCTTATTTATTAGGATTATTTTCTTTCCTTCTCTCCAAGTTTAAAAGGACTTGCTTTACTTTTCTCCGAGCAGGCATTGAGCATACTTTCAGTTTCTCTCCTTGCAGTGGAGAATCTATCAGATTTTTCACCGTTATTTTTCACTGGGGTGTTGGAGGTACTTCACAAGTTCTGATCACTGTTGTTGTATTTTATTAAACCTGATAATTATGATTCCTTACCAAGTTCTGATGACTGTTGTTAATTTTTTTATTTTTTTTTATTTTTTTCAGGCCATTGTCGCTGCCCTTTTGATGAATATCTATATTGTTGGTTTGAATCAATTGTCTGACATAGAAATAGACAAGGTAACTCCTGTACGACCTTTACTGATTACATCATAATAATTAAATAAATAAATAATTCTAATTGTGTCCTCCTTAAACTCACACCCCCATTATTTGCCCCTATGGGGACTTGAACCCATTGACTTTCTACTTTGGAAGGTGAGGAAATTCTAAGTGCCTCCTTATAAGGTATGAATGTAACATTATCAAGAAGGGAACAATCATAATATTTTCTTGCTGGTAATATTTTTCTGGACCCATAATTTAACACATTGAGTGGTTTAGGTGTCCATCTATCCATTTTTTCAGTTTCTCCTTTTATTGTACAGTCACAAGCACATATTGTTTTTAGTAAATGATGACTGGTATTATTAAAAATCCTTTTTATCTGGCCAGGACTACTTTGGGCTGAACTTATGATTTGGATGGTGGCAGGTAGCATCTGTTAGGCTATCTTGTTGTGATGGAACATATAGGCACAGTATATACATGTCCACTTTTGAGATCGAACAATTTTTAATTTATTTTATTTGTGACTAGAGGGGTGTCCCACCTTTGGGTGAGACTAATCCCCTCCGGACACATGGTAGGCCCTGATGCACATGCCAGTTTTAGTTCAGGGGAAATCCTTGTGAGGCCTCAAGGGAGGGTAATTGAACTCAAGATCTTATAGGCAACAAAATCTTCCACCCGCTTGGGATTTATGAGATCAAACAGTTAGTTTGACTGTAGTAAAATACTTCAACTTTGAAGCGCTCACAAACATTTTGCACCTCTTATCTTTGAATTGCATTTTGGAAGTCTATGGTAAATGTGTGATGCATTTTCTATTTCAGGTTAACAAGCCGTATCTTCCATTAGCATCAGGGGAATATTCCGTCAAAACTGGTGTCTTGATTGTTTCATCTTTTGCTATTATGGTACTGAAAATTTCAAAATATTTGAATAAAAGTATATGGTTAAATTCAGTTTTTAACTTGTGGTGGTGTTATAAGAGTTATTCTTCATGTTTCAATTTTCACTTTGAGACTACATATTTTCAGCTCGTTTGGTTCCTTTATAACACTAGAAGTTTAATCCCATGGAAGATATGCCTTTTATATACTCTGGTTAATTTTGTCTAATCAAGATCAATAACTTGTTTTGATAGTTATATTTGTGGTGTTGTATTCTAACTATGATCACTTCTGTCTTATTTTCTTAGCATATGAGGTACCAAGAAAGGCAACCGTTGGATTATTCCTTATATGACTGGAAAAGAAAAATTACAGTAAATTATCGTTATATAAGTGATAATAATCAAGAAGAGCAAAGATCTGCTGCTTCCTCATCTCCAAACTGTAAAATTCCATTATATTTTTATACACAAACTTGCAGATTCACGCACTGAGCATAGTAAACTACTTTGCTTCTTTTTTTCATTTATTGTGCAACCTACTTTTCACCTTCATTAAATTTATCAGGCTTTATTGAAACTGTGACTTAAATTGGGATGTGAAGGAAACCATTTGTTGTTGCTATGTCACCTTTCTTTGTGGGACTGAAAGTTCTAAATGTCCTTATTTCCAAATATTCCTCAATCTTCCTTCTAATAAATCGTTATCTTTCCAAATTTCTTTGTTGATTACTCTTGCATTATCTTATAACTACAATGCCTTCTGTTTAATAAATCATGGAAATAGGTTTTGGTGGCCAATGTCGACTATGTAATGAGGACCACACGCAGTGTGTCACATGTTATAATACTTTACACTTCTTGCTATTGATTCATTTGAGGAGCATCTTCTTTTCTTGGTATAGAAACCTATCATTTTGACTATTTCTGTTCTTTTCAGAGTTTTTGCCTTGGATGGATTGTTGGCTCATGGCCTTTATTTTGGGCTCTCTTTGTTAGTTTCGTACTTGGAACTGCATATTCAATCAATGTGAGTTTTATTTTTATTTCTTACATGCATCATTTTGGTTATTTTTCTACTCCATCCCTCCCCAAATAAATATATACATTTGTGATGTTGTGGACCAAATGTTGTTTCGGCTTAACGAGCTTTGTGTGGGCCAAGACCAAATTTTTATACCCGTTTTTCTTTTGCGGGTTGTGGACCCTGTTTAGTACTCTCTTGTAGCCCGGTACATAAGGGCGTTTAGTGTTTGGAACTTCACTGTGGACGTAGGTATAACTTGTGCCAGACCACATAAATCTTTGTGTTCATTGTGGGTGGCATGTTTACTTTTCTCTTGAGATTCTTGTTTTGTTCTTGGTTCCCTGCGTTTGTCGTACCATATATATACGTATGATGTTGGATGGGGCACAATTATCTATATATAATTCTCCTGCAAAAGAATATATATTTCGAATAGCTACTTGATCTAAATTTGTATGGTAGACTCCTAGCCTCCAAAGGTACAGGAAGAAATATTTAGATGAAACTACATTCTGCCCACATTCTATATATTGATGCTAAGTAGCTGATATAGAGTATGGATTGGTTTCACCCACTCGTTATTGTGGCAAATAAGTGTAGTGATAGACCTGTAGGTTATGGTTGTAAATATTGGCTAAGGGTTTAAGGAGGGGGGATGGGGGGACAATCACTGTCACAGGCCATGGTGTGATTGGGAGCTGAATGAGATAGAGCCCTCCTCCTTTGGTATTTTATATGCTCAAAATATTGTTGAGATGGAAGAGGATTTTGGAAGGTGTGAAAAAAAGGGAACAGGGAGTGTAAATTTTGAGGTGATATCTATATAAAAAGCTCAAAGTAGGTCTTCTAGGATTTGCTTGGAAGGCTATTAGTGTAGGGGATAAATTTATGGTGTGCTCTTTTAATAGGGTGCTTTGAGGACTGGTTTTGGTACAACAGTTAGGTTGCTCCATTGTGACTTGGAGATCATGCATTCGAACGGGATACAACCTCTGTGTACATCTGATCCTCCCTAACCCCGCAATCGCGGGAGCCTTGTGCACTGGGCTAGCCTTTCTTTTAATAGGGTGCTTAGAGAAAGAAGGTTGCCTAAGGTTCCCTTGGAAGGCTATTAATGTAAATCTGATTATCTAAGTTTGCTCCATGAATTCAAATTTTGTTGTACCCTTCTTAGTGTAGGCTTTCCAGTCTTTTTAAATTCGATTGAAAATATGGTATTCACTCAAGTCTTATAAAACTGCAAAATACACCAGATATTTACAACTATGATTATGCTTCCAGGGACCTCAGAATAATTCTGGGGTAGCTCTTTAGATTTTACAGAATCACAGGCCAGAAAGTGTCCCAGGGTGCTTTGAAATTTTAAACTTTTTCAATCCTTTTAGAATTCCTATAGCCATTTCTTCATGATTGTAAAGAAATCATTTTATTTTATCCTTCTTTTTACGACCTTAATCATGTCTTCCTTCATTGATAGATAAGAAACCTATTAGCATATATGATAGCCACGATTTATGGAATGACTTACCATATTAGCTGAGATTTGATTATGCTATGGAATATGCTTTAGAATATATTGTGATTTGATTTAGATTTGATTTGGTTTCCTTTCTTGCAGGGGCGGAGCCAGGATTGTATGGTTGGGGGGGCCAAACTTAAAAGTGAACATTACATCTAATATAAGACTACTTTAAGCCAAAAAAACAAAAAATTTACTTCTGATTATATTCATACAAAAATATATCTACCCAAAATTTTACCAAATTGTTTTTAAAAAATAAATAGTAATTTAAAGAAGCTTTTTATGAAACTTCCCTAACAAAACACAAATAAAATTAAGCGAAAATTTAAAGAACTCTCAATTAAACAAACAAATTTGAAGGTAGTATATGCTATGGCTCAAGCAAATTTTCAGAAAATAACCTTTCAAAATAAAAATTCCAGAAAATATTAGGATCTGAAAAATCTATTGGCAAGGGAAAAAAATAGAATTTGAAGAAATCAAAACATGATTTTAGCTATAATTGAGTCTCAAAAGAAAAGTAAAATGACTTAAAACTGATGAAAATGGCGAACCCACAGAAATTGAAGTCTAACAAAATATATATTTAAGATATCTCTCAATAGATTAAAACAATATAATTGAAATTGCTTCACTCGCCTTATTTAGTGTAAAAGCCAAAGCAAAATGAGAGAACAAAAGGAAGTGGGAAACTTGCTTTAGAAAAAACAACGACAAACAAGAAAAAGTGAAGCACAAAAAAAATGAAAGAAGCCTCAATTGGAAAAAAAAAAAAAAATTTGAGAAATGGAGAGAGGGCCTCAAAAGGAGAGAGATTATTAATATATATTAATAGATATAATAGATATTAAATGAGAGAAAGTATTGGAGTAGATAGATAGATATGGAGTAAATTATATATATATATATATATATATATATATACATATTTTTTGTAAAAGGCCAAAAATTTCTAAGGGGGCCACCAAGTATAAACTTACCTTAGTTACCAATACTATTTTTTGTTTTAGCTTATACTAAAAACAATTTTCAAAAATTTTGGGGGGGCCATGGCCACCTCCAGCCCCCCTCCCTCCGCCCCTGCTTTCTTGTAATATAAGCATGTGCTCTTTTTATCTATAAATACTAGAGCTGTGAATGAGTGATTCATTTCATTCAAGCCTTTATACAATTCTTTCATTTTTCTTCTTTTTATATTTGTACTTGGTATCAGAGCCAGGGTGGTCCGACTGTAATGAGGGCATTGCAAGTTCGGCACCAGGTCTAAGGTGACATCGCCTATTTGGGAGGTGTTAGGTAGGCAGGGTGGTCCGACCTCAATGAGAGCGTTGCGAATTTGGCACCACCTATTTCGAAATGGTCTGAGGAGACATAGTTGTTTCTTCTTTTTTGGTTTGAGGAGACATTGTTGATTCTTTCTTCTACATTGATTAAGCATATGTATGAAGGGGAATGGTCTGAGGAGACATTGTTGATTCTTCCATGTATATGTTTTAAACATGTGAAGGGGAATGGTCTGATGAGACATTGTTGATTCATCCATCTACATGTTTTAAACATGTGAAGGGAAATGGTCTGAGGAGATATTGTTGATTGTTTATGGTCTGAGGAGACATGATTGGTTGTTTATGGTCTGAGGAGACATTGTTAATTGTTTATGGTCTGAGGAGACATTTTTTATTTGTTGATCGTCACTTCATTCGAGAGAAGACCATCTTTGGTCAAATTTGCAATCCATTTGTCACAAGCTCTCAGCAGCTTGCAGGTATTGATTGTGTTTGAGAATGCATTGTCCAAGCAGTGCATTTCAGATATCCACGCACCAACTTGGGGGGGGGGGGGGGGGGGGGGGGGGGTTAACATATATGATAGCCACGATTTATGAAATGACTTACCATATTAGCAGATATTTGATTATGCTATAGAATATGCCATAGAATATGCTTTAGAAAATGTTGTGATTTGAATTAGATTTGATTTAGTTTTATTTCTTGTAATATGAGCATGTGTTCTTTTTATCTATAACTACTAGAGCTGTGAATGAGTGATTCATCTCATTCAAGTCTTTATACAATTATCTCATTTTTCTTCTATATTGTATTTCTACTAAACCGATAGTAAATTTTCTCAAGTAGTTTCTCTCTCTCTCTTTCTATGTAGATGTACATATTATATCTTTGTGCGTGCACATGGGCTCAAGGAAAGCTTACGTGCCTGTTTATGAGTGTCAGTGTTGTTCTTGTTCATCTTACACAAGATCCATGATATAGTATCTGTGCATGGGAACATGGATATGTGTATATTTTACTTCTCTGTTCGGCTCATAAATTTTTATAAGATCAAGGATGACCTTATAATAAATAGTTTATTCCCAGGTAAATGCGATGGTTGACTTATATGACATATTGACCTTATAATAAATAGTTTATTCCCAGGTAAATAATGATCCTTAAAAAATTTAATTGTGTCAGTTACCACTATTGAGATGGAAGAGATTTGCTTTCGTTGCAGCAATGTGCATCCTGGCTGTACGAGCAGTGATTGTTCAAATTGCATTTTATCTCCACATGCAGGTTCCACCCCTTCATCTTCCCCAAGTAAAACTGTTATTTTTCCTTATGTTCGTAATGCTTTAAGATACATGGTTCATATACTATCTTGAAACTGCTTCTTGTTCTTTTATCTTTTGTGAATCACGGTGGCTATGTGACAAGGAAACTGACATGGATTTTGATGTCTGATGCAGTAAAAAACTCCAATTTAGTGTGGTTGTCAGTGCTTGAAACAGTGTCCAAATGCTTGTTTTCAAATCTTGATCTCCTATATGCAAACATGACAAATATTTGTTGTATTCAAACAGCAGCCATAAAAAGAAAAAGGAAGAAAATGGTATCTTGTATATCATGGTAACTTGAAACTACTACTTGTTCTTTTATCTTTTGTGAATCACGGTGGCTATGTGACAAGGAAACTGACATGGATTTTGATGTCTGATGCAGTAATCTTAAAAGAAAAACTCCAATATAGTGTGGTTGTCAGTGCTTGAAACAGCGTCCAAATGCTTGTTTTCAAATCTTGATGTCCTATATGCAAACATGACAAATATTTGTTATATTCAAACAGTAGCCATAAAAAGATAAAGGAGGAAAATGGTATCTTATATATCATGATAAGTCTCTTTTCATTAATTGTGATTATTTTATATCCAATCAAATATATAACTCTCTTTTCATTAAGTGTGATTATTTTCTATCAAATCAAATATGTAACAAAATAGCAGCCTCAAACATAATACCCTGACATTGTTATCAGTGCCAAATAGTATTGAAAGTGCATGGATATTGACATGTCTCGTGTTGCAAAATTCTAATTAGCAGTGCCTTTCTTCATGCTATGATGCAATTTCATTGTCTGATTACTTATGTATTTAACAATTTCCAGACCTACGTCTACAGAAGAGGAGCCATGCTTTCAAGACCTTTGATTTTTGCAACTGCATTCATGAGCTTCTTCTCTGTTGTTATAGCTTTATTTAAGGTAACTCTTTATACATAGAGATAAAACAAATAGCTGGTGTAGTTACTTCAAACACAAGTGGAGGCCCATGTTTGTTGACTAATGGTATTGAGCTTTTGAGTAGTGACACTACCCTTTGGTAATATGCCTCTAAAAGTGTGATTATGTGGCTCTATAGTTGTCCTGCTATAATGATTATTTTCTAGTGTCTTATCTGATTTAGGCATATATTATTTTATGTTTATTTGAATTTCATGGTTGGAGGTTTATGTGTTTATTTAAATTTCAAGGTTTATGTGTTTATTTGAATTTCAAGGTTGGAGCTCTTCTGAATTTTTCTCCTTTGGTCAAAGGCAAAGTTACAGGGAGTACACATCCAAACCCAAATGCTGGCAAACTAGAATTATTTTTTTATTTTTCCCTGGTGGACTGCATGAACCTCGAGTGATCTTTGCCTCAAAACCTAAGGATAAAAGTTTTCGTATGGATCTTGAAAATTAATGCACATAAATGAGAAGAAAAAAAAAATAAAAACTTTTTGTAGGCGGCAGTATGCTTATGCTTGGTGTTGGTTGAATATACGCAATACTTCTAATTGAAAGAAATTAATATTCGGTTTTAACTTTAGCTGGACCTTTTGCAGGATATACCTGATATTGATGGAGACAAGATTTATGGAATTCGATCTTTTACTGTCAGATTGGGTCAAGAGCGGGTTAGTCGCTGATATATACAAATCTGGGATCCTCCAGAATCTTTTAAGTTGTGTATTTGTTTCATTTGGCTGAGCAAGAGGACCTAGCATTAGCTTTTGTGGCATCTCCTCCACCTCCCGGCAAGGAGGTTGTGGATTTATGTCCCGGTTGGGACAAAGTGTGTGTGTCTTGCATATAACCTAAAAAAAAAAAAAAAAAAAACATGTCTCAGCCTATTATTTACTTCTGCAGGTGTTTTGGATCTGCATTTCACTGCTTCAAATGGCCTATGGTGTTGCTGTGTTAGTGGGGGTAGCCTCTTCCTGCCTTTGGAGCAAATACATAACGGTACATTACCAGTTATTCTCCCTTAATTACACTTGTTGTGCTGGATGGGGTTTGATTTAGTAACAGAAAAAATGGCTGAAACTGCAAGATTTCCTGCCTATAATATGATGGAAGACATGGTGGTTTATAATTCATGATCCATATTCATCTTCATGCACTTACTAGAGTTTTTCTTAGTGGCTTGCTGTCAAGAAAAAAGGTAGGCTTTAAACAACGTGTTCACAAAAATTCTGTTCTCTTGCACTGGTATATAGGTTTTGGGTCATGCACTATTGGCTTCAATACTTTGGAACCGTGCCAAATCTATTGATCTGAAGAGCAAAGCGGCAATAACAACATTCTACATGTTTATATGGAAGGTAACCATTTTTGTAAACTTATTGAATGTAATTTCTGATCCAAGACTGTTCAAAATTTGATCCCCTAGTAGAACGTTTAATTCAGCATGTTAAAAGATCCAATGCCAAGAAAGACTTGCTTTTGTTCACATCCTGGTGCATGCAAGTCTTTCTTGGCACCTCCGTTTCACTTGCTTTAGGGATGTATGTATTATTCACTGTTTAACTAGGACCTCCCAACTATACCGAAGGGCCTTTGGCCCATTGGTATAACCTCCCCATCCTCAAAGGGGAGGGGAGGTGTTCGAGTCTGGGCGTGGGCAAAAAAGGGTGTGTGTTTGCTTTATCATTCGGAAAAAAATGAATTTAAAAAATAACCAACTCTATTTTAATGTTGTGTTGTCACAAAGATGGATGCCTAAAGCATCACTTTAGTCAGTGATAGTGATTTACTTTCTGTAATTTCTGTGTCAGCACCTCAAGTTTGTCCCAGACATGATATTACAGTTTAATAGTCTCGAAAGAATGGTATATTTTTTTTCTTTTAATATTTTTATATGCATTTTCAATACTAGTTTTGTATCGGGTTAATTTTTTAGCTAAAAAGAAAAAGAAAAAAGTAAAAGAAATAGTGTATTGATCATCCATGTTCGAATGGGACCAAACCTCCCTGCAAATGACCTGCTGTCAATTCTATTTATAACTGTCCTCCTGTTAACATAGAATTTATTAAAGTTCTGAATGGTTTATACCTGCAGAATAACTATTTTTATTTTTATTCAGAATTGAATGATTTAATTTCATTACTCATCTTTGACTTCCCTCCTCTTGCAGCTCTTTTATGCTGAGTATTTACTCATACCACTTGTAAGGTTATGAAGAACTTGACTGAGAAGAGCCTCCTCTTAATTTTCTTCTCACTTTGGCAGGGGTTTGTTTCATTCAATGTATTTCTTGTTGAGTTGTGAAGATTGTGGTTGTTATCATCACCATCCCTTATCTCTACCAAACTTTGAACCTTGAATGGAGTGGAGAGTGATCCTTATTGCATAATTATGTTTCTCCAGTGAAAAATTGACTTTGGACCTTGACTACACCCTTGATATTGCATCTTCAAGGATAAAATTTTAGAATATATATATATATATATATATATATATATATGTATGTATATCAAGTGAACCAAAGTCAGGAGAAGGAATGCTATGTATAAGCATTTTTAAATCGCGAGCACAAAGAGAATGCAAAGCGGACGTATTTGGTGTAGAGTGAGCTGCATTTTGACACTTAATATATATATATATAAACATCCAATAATTTGTTTGTTTATTTTGCAAAATGAAAATGAAGAAGAGAGCGAAAATGGTGTGTCCAATTTCTATTTGCCTTTTTTTAATCTTTTTGGAAAATTCTTAGAAGCATGATGTTTTCAGCAAAATGTTTTTAGGTACTTCCAAAAATTTGGTGCAAATGGTTCAATAAAATAATAATAATTATTATTATTTATTGTATTGAATTCTGAAAAAGTGAAAATGGGAATTGTTTTTCTTATTAGGCTATAAACAAGAATTGTCTTGTTCATTGTTTAATTCTATATTCAATCTACCCTTCTCAGTATGTTGTTCACAATCTAATCACTCGGAGTCCATGTTATTTAAATAACCTAATGCAGTCATTATAAAGTATATTGTGTGTGTGTGTGTGTGTAATTCATTTAAATTGTACCTGACGGTATTTTAATGAGTGGAAAAAAGAAGAAGAAGAAGATATTATGAGAGTTCAGAAAGGGTAAAAAAAGTACAGAATATTCTCTTTTATTGGTAAACAGTAAAGTAAATACTAACATTGAGCATCAATAAAAAATAAAGAGTGTGTTTATTCCATAGCAGTAAAAAGAGAATATAACTAGGCATCGATAGAAAAGATATGTTTTATTCCATTAGTTGAAAAGACAAATTATTCCTAAGTTGAAAAGACAAAATTTGAAACTCATAATTATAAAAATAAAAATAAAAAAAATATATAATTACTATATTTTTTTATTTACTTTTCCAATCAAGGGCTTTGTAATCTAATGATATCTTTTTTACCTCTTGAAGTGGATGATAAGGTTCAAGTCCATAAAAGGGAACAAGGTGGGTGAAGTTTTAGTTCATGAAAGAGGCAAAGGGGGTGTATAAGTAGGGTGTGTGTTTCTTTTTTTAAAAAAAAAAACATTTTCCATAACACCTTATTTTATTTTATAGTGTATAAAATAACTTAATTTTGGGAATATAATACCATTATTAAAAAATTGTAATACTTATTATTTTAAAATTTACATTAAAACTGTATTCACCTTCAAAGTAATATTATAAAAAATGATGTTTAACTTCTTAAATAAATATTTGGTTAGATGTAAATTAATAATAAAAAGTAAAGTAAAAAAAAAGTTGAATTGAAAGAAAAATAAATAAAATTTTAATAGCATATTTAGCATGAAATTTTTTCAAGAAATTATGAGAAAGTATCATTTTATGATTGGAGTGACTTAATAAAATTTGAAAGTAAGAATTTTTTTTTTAAAAAAAATTTCTTACTTTTTTCCATCTACCCAAACCAAACCAAGCCTAAACACCTAAAAAAAAAATTTTTTAAGTAAAAAATGTATAACAATTTAAACACCTGGTAATATTTTTTTCTCTCTCTTATTTCAATTGTTTTCCCTTCTTAAGCGCATTGGTTGTTTCAAGTCTCAAAAACCCTACTACACTCCGACCTCAGTTTTCAACTCCTTTTTGGCTGACGACCGCCTTCTTCATAACCCCGCAACTCTTCACATCTCTCTCCTCTCTGCGTTTTCTCTCTGCGGATAAACATGGAGGGCTCTGATGAAAAAACATTGAAAGAAGTGTCAGATCTATCTCTGGATGGTTCTACTCCATCTGAACCAGAAGTTATCAGCAAAAAGTAAGTTTTCCAAACACCACCAACACACTCTCTCTCTGTGTATGTATGTATTATAATGATTTTATCTGATGATGAATTTCGTTCTTTATTTTTTCGATTGTGAATTGCCAATAGCGCTCGCAAGAAAGAACTGAAGAACAAACAGAGAGAAGAGGAACGACGGCGTAAAGAGGAGGAAAAGGAGAAAAAGGTACACTCACTCACCTGTTCGTGCTTCCTTAAAAGCATTCTGTTTGTTTGCCGAGAAAACGGGGGTAAACGAAAGAAAATTAAAACATAAATTGGGTTTTCGATACTATGTGAAATTTTGACTAAATAAGCCCACATTATGAATCAGAGGTTTAAATAAAAGAGCTTTTTATTTTATTTCGTTATCAATAGTTATTGGCAGCCAAATATAGCATATAATCATTTAGGTCTCTCTGTATGTAGTGTGTGTGTATATATTCGGTTACATACCACAGAAAAGAACTAAATTTACACACTTGCTTTGACATTATAAACTTCTAATGTTCTAGCTTTTGATAATATTAATATTTTGTGGGCACAAAAAATGATGCCTCTACAATTTCATATAACCCAAGTAGGAAATGGTTGGTTCTTTATGAACTTTCCCTAAAATTGCAATATATGTAAATTTATGTATCTGCATGTTTGACTCGTCTACTCTTTGGGTCTTATTTCTCAAGTCCTAGGTCAAGGTTTTGAGAATGGGAGAGAGTAAAGAAAGAACAAAATCTGCATATTTGTATTAATATTTCTTTGTTTCATAATCTAATTATGGTTTGGATTTGTTGAACTGTTTGATATGATTCTATTTCAAGCAAGAAATTTTTATAAGGTATTTCAAGCAAGAAATTGTTATCAGGTCTCATTCTGGTTCCTAATATAATTGCCATAGTTACTGTTTTGCAGATATAGTTTGAAATTTATCACCTCGTCATTTTTCCACATAATCATACATTGGTTCACCATGTTAGGAGTGAAGACTCCCTTATTCTCTTTAAGTACATTGCAGTTTTATTCTGTGTTCTAACGATGGCAACATTCTTCTCAAGGGTGCTGCCATGCCAACCTCCCAGGTTCAGAAGCCCCAAGCTGCAGCAGATGATGAAGACATGGACCCAACGGTATGTTTATTTTAGTTCTGTTGTTGATGGTTCTGAATGAACTTTTCTTTGTTCCTCTTGGATATAACACAAAACTTTTACCTTTTGTTGAGTTTGTTATGTATTGTTTTGCCTGCAGCAATACTTTGAAAATAGGCTGAAAGCTATTGCAACTCAGAAGACAGCTGGGAAAAATCCATATCCTCACAAATTCTTTGTTTCAATGACTATACTTGAGTATATAGAGAAATATGGAGGCTTAAGTAATGGGGCTCATATTGAGGATGTCGAAGTAACTTTGGCTGGTATCTTAAATTGGAAACTTCAACTCGTGTATGTTATTAGTATTATCCATCATCATGATTTTTTTCAATTAATGTTTTTGTTGTCTTTCTTTTGCAAGGGCGAATTATGAACAAACGATCTTCTTCTTCAAAGCTCTTCTTCTATGATTTACACGGTGGTGGTGCTAAAGTCCAAGTTATGGCCGATGCAAGGTATTCAATCATTACTTCCTTCCTTGTTAGACTCATGCATGCCTTATTTTTGGATTCTTTTTTTGGCATGCAAGTTCACTGGAAACAAATGTCATTTTATGTAAGTGAAATATGGCAATATTATTCAAGAAATAAAATTATGGCAATATTTCTTAAAACTCTTGTTTGAATTGAAATAAGAAAGCAAAGAAGAAGTCAAGTTAAACTTGACCCTTGGTACATTCCTACGTTACCTGGACTTGCCACTTTGCCCTAGTGTACCAGTGTTGACTCAATCCGACCTGGACACCGGTGCAGGACATGGCCAGGTCACAGCTGCTGTGAATGGAAAAAGAAGTTAAGAAAGAAAGAAAAAAAAAAACTAATTCCAAACCTTCTCTCATGATTTGCTATGCCGAAGTCAAAGTAGATCTGAAATAGTTTGTTGATGGTCGTTCTATCATGATTTGTTTCCACTGAAGCCAGAAAATGTTGGCAGATTGGTTAATTGTAGTGATTGATCTTCATTGTCGACATGATAGAGATTAATCAACAAACCATCTATTTGCCCAATAAAAAAAGAGGCACAATCCATATTTTTGTGTTTATAAAGAATAGAATTATATTTTTACTTATTAAAAATAAAATAAAAAATAATAATCGAATTATATTTTTATCCACTTTCTTACAATTCTTAAAGTGGCTTATTAGTAGTTATATACTAATATATTCTAAACCCAGATCATTAATTTTTTTATTTTAAATAAGTTGCACTCTTCCTCTTAATTTATCTTTTTTAAACAAGTATAACACATTACATGGATCCTTGAGCAGTTTATTAGTGTCCTTGTGTCAGTAATTTTAGTGATTAGAAGATTATGATGCTTAGCAATGCAACCCTATGTGACATCCTTACCCAGATCTCGGTAACATAGGCAATTAGGCATATTTCCTTGAGGTGCAGCCTTTTACCATAGATGCTGGTAGAAAGCTGGTGGGATGCATTTGTAACTAGTTTTTTTTTTTTGATTTTTTTTTATAACTGAAGCATGTGAAACTAGTTAGAAATAGAATTTAAGAAAACCCATTTGAAAAAAACACATTCTAGAAGGAAAATAAAGGGTAGATCTTTCAAATAAAGAAAGGGTCCTACCCTTTATCAATTATACGCGAGGGACCAAACCTTATTATTGTTTGTGAAATCCAAGGACCATCTTGTTCTTTTGTATGAAATCTCTTTGTTAATTTAATTTGCTGCGGAGATTATGAAAAAATGTTTCTTGTCCTATGGTATGACCATGAAGAGCAGCTTGGGCGAGTTTGATGCTCTTCACCATTGTTAACCATTTTGGCACAGGATACCATATGTGTGAATCAGGTATTGGAAATATGGATGAACCTAAAAGAAACTATCCAGGAAAAGTTTACTAGAACTTATCAAAAAAAAAAAAAAGTTTACTAGAACTTATCCTCCCCCAGGGTCCCACCACAGCAAAAAAAGAAAGAAAAAGGGAATTAATAAAGAATAATTATAGATTGCCCGATTGTTTTGTCCGAGTTTTCGTCTGAATCAGATGTGGCTATGCCATGTCATCCAAATCCTTTACGTGTAACTGTGTAAGAGGTAGTAAAAGACTTATAAACTTGAACCTTCTCTCTTTGCTTTTTTTCTTTTCGGTAATTAAATGAATATTGTCTTCTCTCTCTTTGCTTTTCTTCTCTCTTATCGATTTTCTCTCTTTTGAAAAGTTTTGAAAACCTTGCAAATCAGAAGGCAAGTTGGGACTCAATGTTCGAATCATATACACAAAATTATTGAAAGAAAATGAATTTGGGTATTTTAAAAAAGGAAGGCAAATTTGGTATGCAGTTAGGGATTTGAAGTAAGAGAAAGAGTAAAGAAACAGTGGTGAAGTACTAGAAGGGAAAAAAAAAACAGCAATATTCGATGTTGGCTTGAATTGAGATTCTGGGTCTGTGCTTTTTTTTATTGTTCTTGGCTTTCTCTGTCTAGGATTTGTTGGATGAATCCAATAACTGGGAATTTGTTTATGTATATTTAGGGTTTTAGAGTAGAACCAGTGAAGACATCGTGAAAATTAAATACCTTTTGAAGGTTGGGCATTTGTTTTTGTTTACAATTTTTAGGGTTTGATTCACGTTCTCTTGGTGATTGACAAAATATCAGAAGCTAAAATAAATGTTTTGAAACCTGCAAATCTAAACTCATCCATTCATGTTAATTAATAACCAATATATTTTGAGTGATGGGGGCGTCAAATCAAAATGAAATAACTTGTGGTATGAGTAGATGGAGAAACGTTGAACCAGAGGAAAGGAGTGCTGAAACCGTAGAGGAAGAGACCACCCAGAAAAGTTGGGAGACAGTTTAAATGGAAGAGAGAGGATGTTTTGTGTGGATGATGTGGCTTGCTACGTCGGATTCAGACGAAAACTCGGACAAAAAAGTCACTACTCATTAAGAAAAGAAAAGTTGCGTAATAATATTTTGTAGGGCAATTGATAATTTTGTTGCATGAATTTGGGCATGTGTGTTGGGTGTGGGTGCATATTTCTATATGTGTGACCTCTCCTTTTATATATCATGGTGTAGGAACAAGGTTGCATTTTAACCCTAAGGTGATGGAAGAGTTGTTTAAGAACTACACGTTGTGGATGTCTTGAGCTAATTCCCCTCCCTTGAGGATAAACTCTGAGGGATTTTCCATGGATTAAAATTGGCCTGTGGCATTGGGCCTGCAATAGGCTCAAAGAGTGGGACCCCTCTAGTTACCAAAATAATAATATAATAGTAATAAATAAATAAAGAAAGAAAAAAACGCAGTCGCATTTTTGAAGTTTGCCATTCTGCGTCTGTTCTCATTGGTACAATAAGAAGTTTGTGTAATATGGTATACTTGTTATAGATGTTCCCAGTGTTGTTAAAGGCGCGCCTAGGCTTGAGACTCAGGTTTAGTGCCTGTTATCATCCCAGGCTTATTGATGTTTACCAGGCGCGTGCCTCAGTTGCGTTTCGTCCTGTTTGTGAGGCGCACTTCATTGATATTTGTTTAAAAAAATACGATTGTTCTATTTCTTAAGCCAAAATGGGTACTTTTGGCAACTTAATAAACAAAAAAGAGAGCTCAATTATACGATATAAGGAACTTTTGTTCAAAAGAATAAAAAAATAAGAATGCCCAAGAATCAAAGTGTTAACCAAACAACGATAGAATGAGATTATAAGACGAAGACGAAGCCCTAGTTGCAGAGATGAACGACGAATCCACGTCAGTTCTTTCTTTTCTTTTCTTTTTTCTCTCTTCTCCTCTAGATCTCTCCTCTCTTCTTATCTTTGTTTACATCTCTCTCTTCGTTTAGTTCTCTCATCTCTCTGTCTTCTTTTTTTGCTCTGTTTTTTCTTTTCTTTTTTTCTCGTTAAGAATTTTTTTTTTTTGTTAACATATTTATTTTCTTTTGTGCTTTGTTTTGCCATTCAAAAAACACATTTTGCTTTGCCTTTCAAGAAAACAAATTTGTGCTCTGTTTTATGGTTGTTGGATGCTTGTATAGTTGATGGATTTACTTTTTTATATTTGATATTAATTTTTAGAATATTGATATTACTTATGAGATATGAATGTTATTATGGTAGTTTAAATTTTCGATTGTGCACCTCACTTCACTCAGGCGCGCGCCTCGCCGTGCGCCTCTCGCTTAGGCTCCAAAGGACCTCTAGCGTCTTGGTGCGCCTTGGGCCTTTAATAACTATGCCCAAGAGTCAAAGTGTTAACCGAACATCAATAGAATGAGATTGTGAGACGAAAATGAAGCCCTAGTAGGCTAGTTGAAGAGATGAACATGAAGCCACGTCGATTATTTCTTTTTTTCTTTTTCTCTCCTCTACTTCTCTCTTCTTATCTCTGTTTACATCTCTCTCTTCGTCTAGTTCTCTTCTCTCTCTCTCTCTCTCTCTCTCTCTCTATCTTTTTCTTTTTTTTTTTGGCTCTATTTATCCTTTTTTTTTTTTTTTTGGTTAACAGATTTATTTCTTTTTATGCTTTGTTTTGCCATTCAGAAAAACACATTTTGCATTGCCTTTCAAGAAAACAAATTTGGGCTCTGTTTTATGGTTGTTGGGTGCTTGTATAGTTGATGGATTTACTTTTTTATATTTGATATTAATTTTTAGAATATTGATATGACTTATGAGATATGAATGTTATTGTGGTAGTTTAAATTTTCAATTGTGCGCCTCAATTCACTCAAGCGTGTGCCTCGCGCCTAGGCTCCAAAGGACCTCTAGCGCCTTGGGCCTTTAATAACACTGGATGTTCCACTCATTTGGAAATCCATGTAACTAATGAGTATAATGAGAATGTATTTTATGAATCTCCTAATGAACAGACAATGTATTTTTATATTCTTTTATTTGCGTGCACATCATTTGTGTGTTCAAAAGTGCATGTGTTGGCCTCAAATTGTTTTTATACTCATGTAATGTTGTGCTTATTCATCTCTTTTCAATTTGCTTTGGTTGTGTGTTGCATTCTTCTACCACTCTTTGGGCATTTTCAGCAACACTCAAGCATTGACTCAAACTCTCCACTGCACGAAGTGTGTTGCTTTGTTTAAGCTTTGACCTCGTTTTTAGACCCTCCCAAACATCTAATTTCATTATCAAAATATTCTCTTAATTAAGAGGACGGAAACTGAGGCATCCTTTTGCAGATATTTAGAAGTGGGCCTCACTGTTTTTGCTATATTAATTCATGGCATTGCAGGCATCTTTGGCCTTTTTTACTTACAAATTGAATACATAAGCTTCAGTTAGTAGATCTAAAAATGAAAAGTTCATATAAGTCTGCAGTCAATTGCAAATACTAACTTCACCTCTTACTGCAGGAGATCAGATTTGGATGAAGCTGAATTTTCCAAGTTCCATTCTGGCGTGAAGCGTGGAGATATTGTTGGTATCATTGGGTTTCCAGGTTTGTGATGTTTCGGATGTAATTAATTTACACAATATTACCTGTTTATTGTCAATATCTTACACATTCTGCATTGCTTATCCAAAACCCGGGTCTGTCAATTTATATTTGAGTTCCAAATCTGTTTCTGCAGTAACAGAAATAGCACAATCCCTTCTGAACAAAAAAATGACTATTATATGAGGTGTATTTGGATATAGCTTTTGGTGTATATGTGTTGGTTAACTGGATATCAGATATCATTTTTTCCTGAATTTCCATGTTCATTGATAACAAAGAATTTGAACCAAATTAATGTGCATTGCCTTTGCTGGTTGAAACTCAATTCAATTACTACCTTGATGACAAATTTCTACTTAGTATAAATTTTTTTGGTATTTATTGTCCCATAAATAAAAAGTACATGGGAAACAACTAATATCCCCCCTGCTTGTACTGATTTGTGAATGAGCACTAGGGAGGATTCTAATTTGTCTTCCAACCCCCCCCCCCCCCCCCCCCCAAAAGGGTCTTTTTTAGTTTAGCTATCTATGACGATGGAAGGGCATATAATTCATTTTATGGAAACATTTCCTATCACATTGTTACTTTTATTCATGGTTATCAACGATTGCCTATGCAGATCGTACGATCCTACTATTTAACCTTTCCAAATTGACCTGGATTGTTTTAAAAATCGCTGAGGGGTAAGATTGTGGTATGACTACCATAGGATTGTAGGATCCACTGTAGGATTGTTGTAGCATTGTGCCAGCTGATCATTCAGGTATACAGAAATTCTGATAATTTGTTCTTTCTTTTTTCATACTTCAATTTTTTTGTGAATTGGACTGATTTTAATCCTAATGTCAAAAAAAATTGTTGTTATGGTGTATTTAATTGGTAATATGGTAGACAGTGTTATAGAATTTTCTTGGCTGGCTTGAAAAGTAAATTTGGTATTATAGAACAATTTATAGCAAAAAATGACTGTAGAAGGTTCTAAACCTTAAATTTCCAATGTACAAACTTCCTTGTAATTTGCACGGCATTAGGGTTCTACCTTCTGAGTTGCATTATCAAATTTATATGTGCGTATTTGTGCATTCATGCATTTTGTTAACTGTTTGTAAATTGTAATAATATTTCTATTTTTTTTTTTTTGTGTGTGTGTGTGTGTGTGTGTTTTAGACTTGTTCTCAATCTATTTTAAGAGTTCTTTACTTATACATGTGCATATGTAAGTCTCTTCTGTACTTGCTTTTAGGGAAGAGTAAAAGGGGAGAGCTGAGTATCTTTCCAAAATCTTTTATGGTGTTATCTCATTGTCTACATATGATGCCAAGGCAAAAAGCTGCTACTGTTTCGGAGAATGCTAACGTGAGGGTGAACATATTTTATTTTTTTGACAAATTTAATGCTTCTTTGGGTTCTTTATTGACATGAATACTCCTTCTATTATACAGAGAACTGATGTATGGGTCCCAGGAAGTGCCAGGAATCCTGAAAGTTACATTTTGAAGGATCAGGTATTGAATAACTGCGATTAGTTTTGTTATGTCTTCTCTCTATCTCTTTTTCTCTAAATGTGGGGATTATATTATTCTCTCTCATGTTAGGAAACACGATATCGTCAGCGTTATTTGGATTTGATGTTGAATGTAGAGGTTCAACAAATATTTAAGACCCGATCAAAAATTATTTCATATATTAGAAACTTTCTGGACAGTCGTGATTTCTTGGAGGTAAGTCATTTGGCTAGTTATACTAATTATTTCTCATTGTTTTCATGGTATTAATCCTTTTGATGACCTCAGCTTATTTTCTTCCTCTGTTTCATTTTGTAATTTCCTCACCTTAAGGTTGAAACGCCCATGATGAATATGATTGCTGGTGGAGCAGCTGCTCGTCCATTTGTGACTCATCATAATGACCTGAACATGAGGCTTTTCATGCGCATTGCACCTGAACTTTTCCTTAAGGAGCTAGTTGTTGGTGGGCTGGACCGTGTCTATGAGATAGGAAAACAATTCCGGAATGAGGGAATTGACTTGACACATAATCCCGAATTCACTACATGTGAATTTTATATGGCTTTTGCAGACTACAATGACTTGATGAAACTTACAGAGGAAATGTTGAGTGGTAAGTATGATATTTTGGATGCTAACATTCTAATGTATTTTATCTTCTGTATTTTTACTGACAAAGTTAAATTGAAACAGGGATGGTTTTGGAACTCACTGGTGGCTATAAAATTAAATACCATTCCAATGGGTTAGACAATGATCCAATTGAGATTGACTTCACTCCTCCTTTCAGGTCTCTGTAAATAATATCACCCTGTTACCCCTACACCTCTGTGGAAATGTCATTTACTTGTCAAAAAAATAAAAATAAATTGTCATTTAGAAAAACTCATCTGGTTGTTATTCTTTGCAGAATTATTGATATGGTTGAGGAGTTGGAGAAGATGGCGAATCTCACCATACCCAAGGATTTTTCGAGTGATGAGGCTAACAAATATTTGGCAGATGCATGCATGAAGTTTGATATCAAATGTCCCCCTCCCCAAACAACTACTCGTCTGTTGGACAAAGTAAATCCTTTTCTTTTTTAAATATCTTTGTGAAATAATTCTCCCATTGTAATATTTCATGACTATAAAATATTTAATAGCCTGCGTTTTGGGTTGCGTATCAACTAGGAAAAAAAACTTCCCAAGCAGAATGAGAGATCAGGTGGGAACTTAGGCTCTTAGTTTTAAGTTTACCAAGAGGATAAATGAAATTAATTAGGATTTTTGTATCTCTTCCATTTGATATTATTTTTGAAGTCCTATTTGGTATGTTAGTATCACTGTTTCAAGGTATTTGAGAAGGAGAACTCCTGGTGCTTTTTTGTCACTTTTCAGCGAGATGGATTGTTATTAGATGTAGGTTTTTTTATGCTTAGGGGGCTTCTTTGGCCTTTTCTGTTTTCAGTCCTATGTACTTGTCTACTTTGTTGTACTCCTTGGTGCCTCTTGTATAGGTTCTCAATTCATAAAAGAATTGTATTTTGTGAGTGATTTTTGTTGCAGTTCATAAGTTGTTGTCCTGTTTTTACAGTTTTTATGATCATTATTACATTTGTGTAATTGCAGCTTGTGGGGCACTTTCTGGAAGAGACATGTGTCAACCCTGCTTTCATTATTAATCATCCAGAAATAATGAGTCCATTGGCAAAGTGGCATAGGTCAAAACCAGGCCTGACTGAACGTTTTGAGTTGTTTGTCAACAAGCATGAAGTATGTGACTGTCTAAGGATGTCCTCTTTATTTATTTCTCTCTCTGAGCGTGTGTGTGAGTTATGTTTTTCTAATGCATGCTTTTTCTGTAACTTCTCAGCTTTGCAATGCGTACACAGAATTGAATGATCCTGTTGTACAACGTCAGCGTTTTGCTGATCAACTCAAGGTATCACACATCATGGGGAAGTGCGTTGTTTTGGCATCTCTGTTATGATGGGTGGGAATTTTGATGAAAGGTTCTGTTTTAAAATTTTCAGGACCGACAATCAGGCGATGATGAAGCAATGGCTTTGGATGAAACATTCTGTACGGCTCTTGAGTATGGGTTGCCTCCAACTGGTGGTTGGGGTCTGGGTGTTGATCGACTTACAATGTTGTTGACAGATTCTCAGAACATTAAGGTTTGTGGGTTACATGTATGGTTTGTGTATGTCGTGTGTGTTTTACAATTTTTCCGTCTTTTGGGTTCCATTTTCAGTGAGAAGTTTTGTTTTGGAATGTGTATATTCTATTTCTCTATTCAATATTCCACTGTAGCTGCCACTCATCTTTTCGTTTGTTGTTGGGGAACAGGAAGTTCTACTATTTCCAGCTATGAGACCACAGGATGAACCTCCCATTAAAGGTATGTATTCAATGTGCCCTGCTTCGTTTTAATGATGCTAGAATTTGGCCATGAGCAGTATACAAAATTTATAGAATTTGTGCCCCAAATTATTTCTCTTTGACATTTCTGTTTTCCTTCTGCTTAGATGAATTTGACTGTAATTCATCTAATTTACATTCTTTGGCAGCTGCAACAGCTTAATAATATTGGAAGTTCAAATCATGCAACTTCGACTTTGAAAGAAAGGTTGGACCGCTGTTCATTTCTAGTCAAAAAGCTTTTTGTTATGAAAGTTAATGTTAATTATTTGGGCATAAACTAATTATACCAACCCATAATTGGGTTTGATGAATCGACTCTTTCTCATGGGTTCAGTGCCATGTTAAATTTAATATTCGCCACAATATTCTTTGCAATGGAGTTCTCTTTTATTTGAAATGCGGTTGGGACAATTGTTCGAAGCAGATTCTCTCTCCCTCTCTCTGTGCATGTGTGTGCATGCAATAGTTGTAATTACTTATATTTTTAGGTAATGGAGGGTGCCCCTACCTCCTTTAGGATAGAGTCTTGGGCTTGGACACTCTCAGGAGAGTTGTAATTAAATAGATAATTTTGCCAAGCAATTTTAAAATGTGGAAAGGTAAGCTTATGATTGAAATGTCATCAAGGGATTGTTGTCAACTTTTCCTGAACGCGTAGGAGGAAAAAGCATGCTTTATAAATATAAAACCAAATGAAAAAAAGTAATTTTGAGAAAACTTTGATTGAAACGTGAATAAGCTGGGACACTTATTCCTCGATACATTTTATATTCTTCTCCAATTACTGATCTTATTAGGCTCTCTTGACATCGAGGTTGGGGAAAGACATGGTTCGCTATTTGATAGCTTTACCCAATAGAAGTGTGAATAGTTTAAACTTCAATAGGATGTGCCAACCGGTTTTAGTATTATTGTTCAACACCATTTGTAGTTCTGGCCGCGAGTGTTGATCGAGTGGTTTTATGTTCATCATTTTCTTCCCATGTTTTACTCCCTTAGATCCATCTGATACGTTATTATAAGCTCTGTGACGACTAATGGGAACTGGAACCGAAGAGAGGAAGTCCTCGATGAGAGGAGTGGTTTTGCTTTTGCCACTGTAAAGTTCAGTTCCTGCTCTTGTCAAAGTATCTTTTGTCATTCTCTATTCTCTTATTGAGCTTCTTGCTCTTATTCTCTTGAAGAGAATAAATCATAAAGACACTACCGGGATGTCTCAGCCTATGAACCCAGAGATGAGGACGAGTAGGTCCTTTAAAGTCGAGGTTGACGAGATCGAGTATTGTAGAACCTCAAAATCTTATATAATATAAAGATAAAGAATATTATAGAACTCGAAGTACATGCAGATTCCAGAATGTTACGAAGTTACAATCTTTTACTCAACAAACATGTTGAAAGATACAGAATGGACTCTCTTTCAATTATAAACAATTAAAGCAACTGCAGTACATTTCCTTTTAAGAACATCATGATCAATTTAATAACAGTGAAGCTTGTAATATGAGAATCATATAAAGTTTGTTTATACCCAAAAAAATATGTCGGGAATAAAATTGCCGCCTCTTTTTATCAAAATTCTATTATGGGCAGCCTCTAATTAAAGTCTATCATACAAGTTCTCGGCATATCTTCTACAATCTAGATTGTCCTCTCTGAGACTCTTCTGTAGATGATGAACCTATCAACAATAACCATGGCTCCACTTTTCACACAAGAATTAGATAGGGGCTGCAGCGTACTGGTGTATCTGATGCTCAACCTTAACCTTTTGATACGACGACCCGATTTCGAAGATCAAAATACATCTGAGTGCTTCCTGGAAGCACAGTATATCGAAATTGATACCATGATGTCTAATTTAACGGATAGTTTGTCTTTTTGGTTTCATCTTGTATAATAGTTACTCTGTTATGCTTCTTTGAATTTATGAACAAGAGTTGACCTTTACTATTAGATTACAAATGAGAGCCCCATAGCCATAAGCCATTGGCCATACATGATGTTCTAAATTTCAACTCTTCACTCACTTTATTTTCATCAAATGAACTAAGAATCTGGTAGGGCATCTTCCACCCGGTTACTGCATTGAAATGGATTATCATTCTGCATGCATTTGGAGCACACCAAATCGACTCTTTAAAATTGAAATTCGAGGAAATTTAGTTCAAGAATTTGAATTAATTAATTAATTTTTTTTTTTTTTCTAATTTCGATTCTAAAGCGCCAATTCAGTTCTCCAAAAGCAACATGAATGTATTTGTAGAAGCAATAATTATTGATTCTCCTTTGGTGATACCACTTGCTATATATATGTCCAAACGTACTAGTGACTGCAGTTAGAGCCTCTGGCCTAGTATGTCAAAAGCAATTTTTGATTCTCCTTTCGGTGGTACCACTTGCTGTGTCTCCAAACCATACTAGTGACTCTTAGGATCATACTACATCAAAGAAATACATAAATGATAGATATATGTATGTATATCTACATATATATATATATAGAGAGAGAGACAGAGAGAGAGGAGCTGCATAAGAATGACAAAAAAGAAGTGGCCACGGCCAATAGATAACAATATCCACCAAAACGACCAAGTCACAGTGAATAAGTGGACCTTGTACACTTTCCACTCTCCATGAGATTTATATGACTTAAGGATATATACACTTGATACAAAGAATCCAACCAAACGATTCTGAAGAATTTGGCAATTTCTTTTTGTTCTCTCTCCCTATCTGTCTTCTCACCAAAATTCTTCAAAAAAAGGTATTGCCCATTTTCAAGAATCTCCATCATGGCACAAGAGTAATAGAAGCACACAACCATAAAAGCATTGGACATCAAAGGGTGGGTGCAAGCACCTATACAAACCCTAGAAGGGTTGGTATGGTTTCTTTAGTGGTAATCATTCACTCCAAACACTTTTTCTTATATATATATGTGTATGTATATATATATATATATATATATATATAGCCCTAATGTTTTATGGACAACGAATTATGGACGCCTCAAAGTTCCAATACACAAATTCTCAGCAGTAAAATTGTCTCATAGGCAACCTTTTTGTCAACAAAGCATAAGATTGCAAAAATAATTGAACCAAACTCATGGGGTTGTCTCCCACTAGGAAAGTGTCGTCTCAATCTACCTTGATCATTCTCTTAATTTATTATGAGGTCATGTATTCGAAACAGAAAACCTAATCATCTCCAAATTGTTTTCATGTAATTTTTCTTACTCTTGTTGGTTTCACTTTTCCCTTTCATACTTTTTTTTTATTTATTATTTTTATTTATTATGAAATGGAAACATCTTTAGCCTTCCAAATTCCAACTTCTCCAATGTTATGCAATGAATAACGAAGGAAACGAAAATAAATAAATGAATTTGATGTTTTTTAATCTAATTCTCTTCAAAAAGGTTAATAATTATTTGCTCTTGTGAATTTTGAGGAACTAAACAATTATAACAGTTAACAGTATACCGAGAACAACTTTATCAAAAGTGCAACGAGTATTTATTCTCTCTCTTTTTTCTAGGCTTCGACTCTTTACTCCCATCCCTCACCGGCTCACCCTCATCCACTCATTTGTCGATGCTTACACCGCAAATCATGACAAATCAGGGAATCGATAGAAAAGCAAACTCACACTTCATCCGAATATAAAAATTTAAGTGGTTTGATGTAAAATTTAGAAAAGATTATACGTTTCAACTCTAAATCATAGTTCGTGGTCACAGTGTAATGGATTCGGCGAATAACAATGTAAATCGAGCAATTTATGGGGGTGTGCAAAGGTATCGAACCTTTAAAAAAGGATTACGAACCTGTCAATACGGCGAACCATGCTCCAAACCCTCTCTTTCTCTCTCTCTCCTACAGCTACTAGTGTTCTCTCGTAACATACTTTAAATCCTAAACACTCTTATATGCTAGAGTCAGGTGGACTGTCCATAAAAATATAAGAATTACATAACATGAACACAATGTCCAAAAAATAAAAATAAAAATAAAAAAATAATAATTCAGTAATTAATGACCAAAACAAAATTCAAACTATAACATCACAGCGTCACTTAAACATGGCATGCTAGCATTTAAGGAAAATGAAATTGAATTTTGGGTAACAAAATGGCGGGGGGTGCTGGGGCAGTAGACAATTGGGGTAATGTGAATTAACATTGGGGCAATATATATATATATATATATATAGTCTTGATCTCTTACTCTTTGTAAAGCAAAAAAATTAATCCACACTTTTATAATAGACTGTTAGATTAAATCTAACGGTCAATTTTCAAACTCATCTATAACATTTCCTTTTAACACAAAATCACTCTCACCCTATTTTTAGTTTCTATATTTAATTTTACTATTACCACATACTATAATAATAAAAGATAATTATCAAAATAAAAATATAAACCTTTGAAAAAAAAATAATATCAGTATATTTTACTAAAAATTTGTTTTTATTATCCGTATCTTTCAATTTTGCAACAATAGTATGATATTATAGCAATTTTCTAAGAAACATCAATTTTGCAACAGCAGTATGATATTATAGCATTTTCTTAAGATATATCAATTTTGCAACTATAATATATTTCTCTAGTATAAATAAATTTACCAACAAATATACGGTAATATTGCATTTTGGAATATCGAATTGATTAATTGGGATTGAAATTGAAGAAAATTTCATTTAAAGTTTGAACAAAAATTCTTTATATTTCAATTTGAAGTTGGGCATTTGGTGAAATTCATTATTGAATCTCTGAATATGTGAGTTTGATTATTAGATGATGATGATGTACTGAGGCTAGAATCCACCTCAGAAATAACAAGGTAACTCAAAAAAAAATGGGTGAAACTTTTCTCACAACCTTATCCATAGAGAGAAATCATTTGTTACTTTTGTCCATGGATTCAAATTTAGCCATGCACGAAGAAATTGAGAGATGGTTGATAATTATTTTTTATTGTTATAGTAAGTGGTAACGATAAAATTAAATATAGAAATTAAAAATTAGGTGAAAGTGGTTTTCTATTAAAAAGAAAGGCCATACGTAGATATAACAAGTATGGATTAATTTTCTTGTTCCATGAAAAGTAAGAGATCAGGACTATATATATATATATATATATATATATACTCACACATATATATATATATATATAATAGCAATGTAAGACTGCAAGTCGTCTTCTCTAAAGTAGTAGAAGAATGATTAAAAGGGATGTTTGGGTTGCAGGTAGGTCCGATCTAGTTTGTGGTTGGTGTGGTTCTTCAGAGAAATAATAGCAGTACTGTCTAATTGTCCTTGCATATCGTCCAACCCTTCACAGGCTTCACATACACACACAAACAGCTAGGTGAACATTAAGGTAA